ATAAAAAGTCTAATCACCTAAGTAAATATTTTTCCAATTTAAAAAATTTTAACAGATTTAGATTCTATATAAAATTTTGCAACTTTTACTTATACCCCAAATTTTATTAAACTTTTTTTTCAAAAAAAGTCTAAAACTGACACACCCTAATGATGGAGCTCCCTGCCACCGCACTGGAGCAGTTTGCCAGTGGCTAATGGGTCAACACATCGATGTCTTAGGACCTTGGCCTGGCTCCAGCCCGGACCTTAATCCAATAGAAAATTTATGGATGATGATGAAGCGGAAAGTTGCTACAAAGAATCCTAGTTCCGAAAACACCCTTAAGAAAACGATCATGACTGTTTGAACTCAAGAAATAACCCTGAAATATTGCTAAAAATTAGTTGATTTAATGCCTGAGAGGATAAGAGCTGTGCCAACAAAGGGCAGCCCACCAAATAATGACTTTTGTGACAATCACGTCTTTAAGATGCTTTTTTACTAATAATTTATACATATTTTATAATTAAAGCACTAACTAATTGTTATTGGTGTTAACTGCTCGTTATATTCAGGTTCTAAAAGCCATACTATAAAAAAATTCAGCGTTCTCATATTTCCATGACTGTATGTGTGTGTGTGTATATATATATATATATATATATATATATATATATATATATATATATATATATATATATATATATATATATATATATATTATATATATATATGTATATATATATATGTATATATATATATAAAAAAAATTTATAAATACATGGGTGGTGCTAAAACAACTTATTTTGAAAATGTCTGAGTACTCAGAACATAAACTAACAACAAGTAACAAAACACCAAAATGTGCAAAGACAAAAGTCTGATAACTCTGAAATGGAAGAAAAATCAATGGAAACTTTAAGACATGCAAGGATAAATGATATTTCTCAATGTTCATAAACAACTTGTCTTGAGGAACATCAAACCCAAGCAAAACGAAAAACCAAATTTACCGTGTATTCAGCAACAAAACAAGGTTGGTTATGCAAAATTTGTTTGGAACATGGTTAAAAAAAAATGAGTTCTGAGTAAAACAGGTTGTGAAACTTGATATAGTGTGACCTGTTTTGTGTTTAACTATATTCATAGTGACTTGTGTCTTTAGTATGAGTTTTTTGTACCAAAATGTACAGTCGATAAAATAAAAAGTTGCAGACTAATATCGAAAAATATCAATTTGATTCAAGCAACTAAAACTCAACAATAATAACAGCTTATACATTTGTAAAGTGTTTTAGCTTTGGAAAATTTTTGAAAATGGATTTGAAGTTCTTTGCCTGACTTCAACTTCTGCCCCAGTTCAAACAGCTCCAAGATGTCAATAGTCCTCTGCTGCCATTGTGAGAAAGACTAAAGTTCTCCTCTAAAAGGAATGTTGTTTTTGGAAAGGCTCAAAAAGCCTTTGAACTGAAAAAATGCAAGCTACTTAAGGCTGTTGCAACAAGATGGTTGTCACATTACAAAACATTCAAAAGATTAGTATCACAAAATTTGTTTTGTTGATGCATTAGATGCAATCCTAAACAAAAGAGCCGACTTAAGTAACCATAAGTTAAAAGGATTAGGAGACAAACTACTAAATCCTGATACCATATTCTTTTTACTCCAAGCATTTTTACTATCCTACAGTAAAAAGTTTCTTCCTTTACGTCTAATACAAAATCTTATTTATGACGACAATGGGAAAAAATTTCTGAGAAGCTAAGAGTGATGGTCCCTTGATTAATAAGTATTCAAATTCCTTAATAAAATCAAAAGCAAATGGAATCAGCATATAGGCTGCAAGGAAACAACTTACTGGTAATAACTTCTGCAGATGATATTGAAGAAAAAATCCCAAAATTTAGAAATGAAATTATGATTCTCATTTTAAAAGAATATTCCAGAGAACTTAAGTTAGCGTTTTCATATGATAATCCTGCATTTCGAAGAATTAAAAGAATATTCCAGAGAACTTAAGTTAGCGTTTTCATATGATAATCCTGCATTTCGACTGTTAAAAGTCTTTAATGCATCATTGCTATGTGATCTCAAAAAAAGAACAAGGTGTTAATGTACCAGTGAATTTTTACAGCAAGTCTTAGTTCTTATCTTTTTATAACAAATACTACAGAACAACTGATTGATAAATCACAAGTAATGGAAGGAGATGATAAAACTGCTTTGAACGATTTTGATGCTAAAGTAAAACAAGAAAAGATGAGAAACAAAGAAATTTGTAAATTAATTTTATCTAAAAAGTTAAAAGCCTGCAAGGTTGCACAACACTAAAAAAAATTTTCCCCTTCCCCTGTCATTTTTTAACCTTTTGTTCTAGTGAAAGAAAAATCGCAATATACGGAGTTACTAACTTTATTTAGATTCTGTCTTTTAATCACACGCATATATATATATATGTGTGTATATATATATATATATACATATATATATATATATATATATATATATATATATATATATATATATATATATATATATATATATATATATATGTGTATATATATATGTGTGTATATATATATATATATATATATATATATATATGTGTGTGTGTGTGTGTGTATATATATATATATATATATATATATATATATATATATATATGTGTGTGTGTGTGTATATATATATATATATATATATATATATATATATATATATATATATATATATATATATATATATATATATATATATATATATATATATATATATATATATATAAATATATATATATATATATATGTGTATATATATATATATATATATATATATATATATATATATATATATATATATATATATATATATATATATATATATATATATTACTGCTAACATAAAAAAAGACTTTTTCATACTAGGTTGTTGGCATCAAAACAGCCCACAATCAGAAATCAGATAGACAAATTTATGCAAAAATAGTTCTGCTAGGTTTGGAAAAATTTGCTGATATCGCATGGTAAAAATTAGTATACAAAAACTAAGATTCTGGTGATCACAGTATTGAGTTATAACATCACATTTGTAATTTATTTTAATATAAAATAAAAATTTTTTTTTGCTTAATAAAATCAGCATTCCTTAGCAAAATTTAATTTTTTATTCCTACTCAAAGCATTTTTTTTTGTGTAACACTAAGCATAACACATATAACTAAATCTATACTAAAACTAACAGATTTATATTTTAAATTGCCTTAAAGAAATGTAATATAGATGTTTTTTTCATTACAGTTACAATATATAATGTAACTTTATAATGCAATATTTTTCAAAACATTCTAAGTAAAACAGGAGTATAAAAGCTAAAACTACAGTTTTATAAAACAAATATAAAACAGTTTTAAATAATATTAAATAACCTTTGAACGGAATGACCTTTTGCTTGTCATTTTGTTTAAACAAACTTTATTCATACCTTTGTTTTTAATTTAACAAAGTTATTACTTTTATTTATAAGCCACATTAAAGTGCTGTGTAAATGATCAAAGCTTAACATTTTTAAAAATTTAAAAATTCTTAAAGAAGTTTTAACTAAAGTACTATACCCCCTGCATATGTCTATACACCCCCTGCATATGTCTATACATCTCCTGCATAAGTCTATACACCCCCTTCATATGCCCACTATTTTGATGTAATATCAGCATTTACCAAATGATCTCTTAGAGTAGATTTACTCCTAGAAATACTTTCAAAAACTCCTTTTTAGCTTCAGTTAAAACTAAACTAGGTGAACAATAACATAATTAAAAATTGAAAAACGGCATTCCCATATAAACTCTGGGTTAGTTACTGTATACCCATATAAAATTGACACTTTTGAAAATAGCAAAAAATCTAAGGCTACAATCATAGCAATTTTCTGCAAAACATTTTAATTTAAGATATCGAACAAATGTTTGAATTCTACTCATTACCTGAAAGCTTCCATTACAAAAAAAATGACACTGTTGATTGCACATAAAAATGCTTTAAAAAAAAAAAAATTTATGATTATAAAGAATCATTAACATGAATAGACTTTTCTGTGATTTTACAGTGAAACTTTTACCAGGGGTTTTTTTGAACTTTTTTTTTTTTTTTAATACAAATTACAAGACCTCTTACATTGCATTAATTTTACATTTTTTGATTTATTTTAAACTACCTAAGACTTTGTTTAAAACTCTGTTTAAACAAAGTTTTGGGTAGACTTTGTTTAAGTATAGGGTTAAACTTTGTTTAAGTATTCTTAAAAATTGAAAAGTTTGTAGAAATACTTTTGTATTTTTACAACTTTATTTGTTAGTATGCAAATTCAAAATACAGTTTTTAAGCATATGTTACCTTAATCCAACATCTTCATAATGAGGATGGTTAACAATAGGTCGATTACAAGACAGTTTTATTCCTGCCATAGTTGGCATTGCACCAGCAAACACAGCATCTAAAATAAAAATGTAATTTACATTACATAAACATTTTAAATATCATACTAAAAAAACCAGAACAAACCAAAAAAAAAATTATATTTTTACTTACCGGGTTCAGTGTTTGCATTAATCCATTCAATCTAAAATATATATAATAATAAATCAATTCATGTTGAAAGTAACTTAATAATAAAATTCTTATTGAGTTAAAAAGTGTCTAAGGTGCAAAAGTCCATAGTTTCACATGATATGACAATATGGTGCAAAAGTTCATAGTTTCACATGATGTGACAATATGGTGCAAAAGTCCATAGTTTCACATGATATGACAATATGGTGCAAAAGTTCATAGTTTCACATGATATGACAATATGGTGCAAAAGCTCATAGTTTCACATGATATGACAATATGGTGCAAAAATTCATAGTTTCACATGATATGATGATATGGTGCAAAAGTTTATATTTTCAAATGATATGATGATACATTAAGCTATGCAACTATATGATACCATATAGCTTGTACACTTAAGGTTTAAAATATTTGACATCAAACCATGATGAACCATTTATGTATGGGATCATTTATGTATGAAACAAGTGAGTAGAATGATGCTAGACATATGTGAAAACAAATGAGTAGAATGTTAAACATGCATAGACTTGCATAAGAGGCATAAAAACAAGTGAGTAGAATGTGACTTTAGATTTTTTTTAAATTGAAGTTTTTAAAAAACCTTTATAATATATATATATATATATATATATATATATATATATATATATATATATATATATATATATATACATATATATATATATATATACATATATATATATATATATATATATATATATATACATATATATATATATATATATATATATATATATATATATATATATATATATATATATATATATATATATATATATATATATATATATATATATATATATATATATATATATATATATATATATATATATATATATATATATATATATACAGTGGTTTTCATAAATTTAGACGCACTCATATTTGAGAATAGAAATTTTTAGTTTTTTAACGATAAAACAATGACGAAAAAAGATTTCGGTTTATTTTTTTTTCTATTTATTAGATAAATACATACAGAATACAAAATTTAAAAAAAGTTTACAAAAAAAAAAATGAAATACTAAGTAATAATCAGGTACAACTACATGGTATTAAAAAAAATAGATAAAAAAAATTATTCATAATTTTAGACGCACGATACATTAGAAGGCGTAATTTATGAACCTATCAATATTTTGTTTATCCGCTTTTCGCTTTAATACAACTAAGAACTCTTCTAGGCATAGACTCAACAAGATTTTTGCACATTGCTTCTAGGACCTCATACCAGGTCTCCTTAAGGAATTCCTTCAGCTGACCAAGTGTGGAAATTTGAACCTTTGCTTATTCACGGTCAATCCAATCCCAAACGTTTTCAATCAGGTTCAAATCAGGTGAGTATGGTGGCCACGGTATTGCCATGATATTATTATTGTTGAACCACTCCTTTGTATAGTATACAGTATGTGCAGTACCGCCATCTTGTTGAAGTTTCCATGGTTTATCATTGAGCATAAGCAGGTCAATTGATGGAGTTAGGTTGTTTTCCTGCACTTCTACGTATATTCTGGAGTTGATTCTTCCGGTGTATGTTTGGCACATACCAACACCTTTGTAATTGAAGCATAACCAGATTCCTATCGAGCCTCCTCCACTTTGTACAGTCGGTCTAATGTACCTGACATAATACTTTTCGTGAGCCATTCTTTTGACTGTTATGTTAGATTTGCGATTGATAAGCTCAAAGTTACTTTCATCACTTCACATAATGCTTTCCCATTGTTCTATTGTCCAATACCTTCTTTCACGACACCATTTTAGTCTCCTTTGTTTATCATATGGACGCAAAAGCGGTTTCTTCAAAGCAGTGTAGACTCCAATCTTGTATTTGATAAGTATTCGGCGGACTATGCTTTGAGAAATAGATGTATTTCGCGTTGTATTGAATTCTGTGGTCAATTCTTTGTAACTAATTCTTGGATTAGCTCTGACAGCTCTAAAACGAACACTGTCGTCCTTTCTGGTGGTTGACAAGGGTCTACCTGGCCTCGTTTTCTCGCTGGCACCACCAGTGTGAAGAAAGTTTTGTTTCGTTGTCCAAACACATTTCTCAGAATATCCAATTAACTTGGCGATTTCTCTATTAATTTTGGTTCCTTCTTTGATGAGCGCAATAATTTGCCATCTTTCACCTTGAGTAATACGTCTTTTGCCCATTTTCCACGTCTTTTTAGTGCAAAACTAACTTAACTTTTGTTTATTTATTAAATAATGATTAACTAATTTCAGGTAAGTCATATTTATATAAAGTTTTTTGACAAAATCAATTAATTTAGGCCTATTAATTAGAAATATGGGAAAAAACTACTAACTATCAATTAACAAGATATAAGACTTTTTTGATTGTGCGTCTAAATTTATGAACAAATTAAAATCAAGCTTATTACTTAACTTTTTTGTGTTAATCAGTATAGAATGAGTAATTAACATCCTGTAAAAAAATTAAGGTACTCTATAATAGAGTTTTACTTCCTTTTTTAAATTATATATAAAACATAGCGGTAGCACTTTTATTTTATTTTTATTTTGAGTATTTTCTCACATATATGAAAAAAATAAATAAATGCGTCTAAATTTATGAAAGCTACTGTATATATATATATATATATATATATATATATATATATATATATATATATATATATATATATATATATATATATATATATATATATATATATATATACACTAAAAAAATAACTTGTGGGTTTTGCAAAACTCTTAGGATATCTATAAACCTTTTTAAAATTATTTAAAATTCTTCACATAAAATTTTTTTTTGCTTTGCAAAACTGTTTAAAGTTCATCAATTTCAAATACATCCTGTAACGTTTATAGCTTTATAGTAATGTTTATAGTTTATAGTAATGTTTGAAGATTAAACCTATTTAAAAATCAAGATCATTTTGTGAATTATCTTCCTAATAGAAAAAGAGTAATCTATAGAACCACTAGAATTAGTAAAACATAACGGAATTAAAACGTAAAGTTTTCATTCTTAAATTAAACTAGTTAAGTTTTCTACCTTAAACTAAAAAATTTTTTATTAGTAATTTTTATAACAAAAAATAAAAAATGAAATATATAATTTAATCATATTGATAAACAATTTGAGTTTTGTTAGTAATCTTTTGTAACAATAAATCTTATGTTGACAAAAACTAAACAAATTGGTAATAGCCATTTAATGTTGATTATTCTCATTTATTCCATGATCTTATATCAAAGTCAATCCATGACCTTAAAGCTAAAACCGCTTCAGGGTGAATGATTTTAGGAAAGTAGTAAAAAAAAAATTCTTTCATAAATAAAACCTATTATTAAAGAATGTCAATTAGGTTGAACTACGTTTACTTAGCCAATGAGATTGAAACGCAGTTATTTAGCCAATCAGATTGAATTATTGTAATTTAGCTTTGAATTTACTGATAATTTACAGTAAATATAGCAATAAATAAATAAAAATTTACCTATAATAATATTTATATTTTAAATAACGTTCAAAACAATTAAAATATTTGTACTTTACTCATTGGAAATTGCAAAACTATATAATGCATAAAGTACAAATGGAAATATGAAAGTTTTAATGCTTAATTATGATAAACAAAAGATAAACAGAAGTTAAACTGTAAAAACTCAGTCAAAAATGTGAAACTTTTAGGTCATCAATTCACAACCATTTTGATGCTGATATTGTTTGCATTTATTTGAAACAAAATTATATTTCAATAACTTCGATTATATTTCCAAGATAAAAATGTGTTTACCAGATTTTCCATTTCAACATTACTGTATGATCCTTTCATACTCTAAAACAAAATAAATCTTATAAATAAGTAAAAAAAAATATATAATAAAAACAAAATAAATCTTATAAATAAGTAAAAAAAAAAATCAATTGTCTATACTTCATAGATCATCCTATTTTAAAAATCTGGAAAATTGTTTGGATAAAATATCCAGAAAAACTTTTTTCAGGGTACTACAGACACCCTAAAAAAATAAATTATGCTGCAGACACCGTGAAAAAATAAATTATGCTGCAGACACCCTGAAAAAAGAAATTATTCTACAGACACCCTGAAAACTTTTGATACCTATTTTATTTTGAATGAAATTGGTAACAGGTGAATGAGGGAGAAGGGAGGAACTCAATTATGAATCTCATTATAAAATGAGAAATGTTTTTTTTAGCCATTTTTTAGCTATTATTATTATAAAACTTTTTTCAATTGGAACATTTAAAAAGTCTTTTGAAATAGTTCATACTAAAAACTTAAGTATGTAATTATTTGTTGTAAAAATATTTTCAATTGTGAAATTTTTTTTTTTTAAATAAAAAAAAACAGATAGTCGAATAAATTTATTTATACTTACTATTTTCAATTTAAACTTATATTTTTATATTTATATTAAATTTATTATTAAATATTAACAAATTTAAATTTAATTAAATTTTCTTTTTAATTAAAAATGCTCCATTTTAAGACTTTTTACTTTTAACATTTCCAAAATATGTTAGAAAAATCAAAATTCTTTTTATCAAATTTAATTCAAGTTACTTTTTTATGTTCGTTTTACATTAAACTATTTTATTTATCTATAGTTTCAAATATATTTTTTCATCCTGTTACAAAAAAAGGCTCATATTCCAATGTACTTAGGGCTTATTGATCCGGTGGCGATCTCAAATAATACTGAATATGTATAAAAACTTATATTTTTTAAGATCTTAACCATTTTTACATTAACTCTATCACTTATATTCTTATATTTTTATATCTGAAAAACAATAACAAAACTCTATTAATACAGAAAATTTAATTCAATAACAAAAAACATTTAGTAAATAATAATATAATTGTTACTGAGTTCGTTATACCCATAATGGCGCTATTTACTGGCTATAGCTAGTGGTATTGGAATGTTGTTTTATATGCCAATTCATTTATGATCACATATAGTTGCATATAAATTGCATTACCTGATAAACCATAATCAAGTCTGTAAGCAAAATTGTTTTGTAGAATTTTTTTAGTAAATTTGATTTACTAGTAATTGTTTTATAACTTTAAAAGATCACCAGACCATAAAAACACCATAAACCCAACTTTCTAAACAGCCTTATTGTATGTGTTTTAAATCCTGCAAAGAATTAGGTAGGAAGACTATCCAAATTTATTTTATCCAATATCAACTCAAAATTGAAAATTATGCTCTATTCAAATCAATGGAAAAATACCCAGAATGTGATATATTGGTTCCGAAAAATTGAGGATAAACACCTTTGTATATTCCTAGTAATTGACATAAATGATTTTTACCTGTCAATGGATGAAAACATACACAATAGTGCAATTACCTTTGTCCAGCAATACATAATGATAGACGAGCAAAACAAATATATTATACACCATTCAAGAAACTTGTTCATTTTTAACGATGGCATATCATGAACTAAAGACAAAGCAGGATTGTTTGATGTCACAAAGCAGGATTGTTTGATTGTTAGATGTCAAAACAGTGTGTGATGGCAAAACAGTGTATGATGGCAAAACAGTGTATGATGGGAAATTTGCGAACTAGTTGGGATTTTTTTTTTAGACCAATTTTTGATGTTTTAAAGCAATTTTAAAGATTTCTTTGTCAATTTTGAATTAATAAATATTCAATATTATATTCTACTGTAAAAAAAGATTGAGATGACAATTTCGCTGTTTTTAAGAACAAAAGTGGCCATCAAACGGAGCAAATAAATAAGCACCAACTCAGCATCTCTATCAATTGCAATGTTAAAATTGCTAATTATCTTGATTTAACTTTTAATCTTACTCAAAATTCATTCAAATTATACCGCAAACCTGATAATAAACTAAGTTATGTACATGATAAAGTTATGTACAAACAAAATATATACTGGTACAATCCTCCATTTAGTAAAAATGTTTGAAACAAATTTGGTCAAAAATTTTTAACCCTAACTGACCTGAATTTTCCTTAAGCCCACAAACTATACAAAATATTTAACAAAAACACAACTAAGATTATGTTTATGTTATGATTATGTTTATCTTATTTTATTGTTATGATTATGTTTATCTTATTTTATTGTTATGATTATATTTATCTTATTTTATTGCTATGATTATGTTTATGTTATTACCATCTAAAATGCTTTAACACCAAAAAGTACCAGAACAACACTGAACTGTCTAAGGAAGTATGGGAATTAAAAGAAAATAACTTTACACCTTCGATCAAATGGAATATTGTTAAACGCTGTACAACAATATATATATATATACATATATATATATATATATATATATATATATATATATATATATATATCAACCCTCAGATTTAGGAAAAATGCGATCGGCAATAATTTGCTGACCTTGATCTTTTTAAGATCGGCATCAGGTTGGCAAAAATTATTTGATATAAAGGTCTGACCATAAAACATAGAAACGAGGTCAGCAATTAATAACAATAATAATTTAATAACAATTTTTTGCCGACCTCAAACACTTTCAGGTCAGCAGTTAGGTCGCCATTGCCAAATGCTGACCCTAATTCCGAGGGTTGATATATATATATCATTTTGAGGTCATGAAAAGATCTAAAGTATCATGTGGTATTTTCTGCTCTTTTTTTTAATAACATTTTTTTAATTTTGAATTTTCACTTTGCTCAAAAGCCTCAATGTTCTTTTTTTTAGATTTTTTTTACCCATTTTAAGCCCATTTTTAGCACAATTGAGCTACCTCTATATGTCGAAATAATTATTTTCTTTTCTTTCAAGAATAACTTCTTAGTTAGAAGAAACAAGTAAAACTGCATAGCAATTTTATTAATTGAAACATCTTATGTAAATCTGCAACCAAAATTTCAAATAAATCTAATTTTTTTTATTTCTGCACACCACAGTAACTTTCCAAAAAAATTTCAAAAAGTTAAAGTAAAAATTTCAATTGTAACTTATTTTAAAATTTTGATAGATACTGCATATTTGTTGAACCAATATGTAGAAAGAAAATCTAGAATAGTTGGAATATACATAGGGAAAAAAAAAAAACCTTTCCTCTATTAACAGGATTTTATCTAAGTTTGAAATGAAATCAAATTTACATGAATTCTGACTGACATCAGTGACAGCCAAAATGGTTCTGAGAAAGAAGCAGAAGATAATGATACCCTGATCAAGAGTTGAAGAAATTCCAAACACTTGATAGTTTTCTATTTCCATAAGATATTTTCAAGAGAACTGCTGATCCAGCTGTTAGAGAATATAAAAAATGTGAAGAAAGAAAAATTGCTCAAAAAATATACAGCTATGAACTTAATAGTGTGAATGAATATCCATTAACCCAAATGAGCCAACATTAATTTTTTGGATTTTAATGAGCCAAGTGTCCAAGCTTAGTTCCAATGGTAACATAATAATGGTGCACAACTAAAACAGGAAGTATGGAGGAAAAAGCAAAACCATCAAGAAAATGGACACAAAAAATACTAATTTCTGTTATTTAATCAAAATCAGTTTACTCTCTCTCTCTGCTACAGCTGCGAAAAATAAAATAGCACCACCACCAAAAATTGGTTGAAATTAGAATTTTCGACTATTTTTGATAGTTTGAAAATCTTTTAAATACATATTTAAAAGTAAAATGGCTTATAATTTTTATAAAAAACAAAATATACAAATTTTAATATATAGTATTCATTTATTAAACAAAAGTTCAAAAAAAATCAAATAAAACATGAAAAAAATAATAGCACCACAGCTTTTAATGTGTACTTTAAAATAAGGAAATATTATGAGATCAATTGTTTTAAACATTTTACAATAAATATTAGTTATTTCGTAACATATTAGTATTTTGTAGCGTGACCTTTATTGGCAATGATGGCTACACAACATCTTGGCATCAAATTAACCAAGTCCTGACATCGCTTTAGCGGAATTTTGCTCCATGTCTCCTTAACTATGTTCCAAAGTGACTCCTTCGTGGTGGGTTTGGCAGCAGCAACCACCTCCTATACATCAGCCCACAAATTCTCAATTGGGTTAAGATCTGGCGACTGTGCTGACCACTCCATAACATTCACATTATGCTCCTCAAGCCAATTCTTCGCCTTCTTGCTAGTATGATTTAGGTCATTGTTCTGTTGGAATACCCAGGACAACGGCATTTCATGGTCTGCATACGGCAACATCACTTTACCATATATATCAACATAAACGTGTTGATCCATAATAGTAGTAATGTGATGAATGGGCCCTACTCCGTAATAAGAAAAGCATGCCCATATCATTATGCTACAACCTCCATGTTTAATAGTTTTGATGGTATATTTTGGATTGCATTCTGCATTCGGCGGTCTTCTGACATACGCCCGAGAGCCTTTTCCACCATAAAGCACAATCTTACTTTCGCCTGTCCATAAAGGATTCCTTTTTTCGAGTGGCCAATTTGAGTGTTTTTTAGCAAACGCAATACGCTTTTACAACATGTCTGGCACTTAGAAGTGAAACTTCTCTGGGGCTACAGGCTTTTAATCCATTAACTCGCAGACAACTCCGAACTGTTTGTACTGTTGCATCGATGTTAAAGTCCTTTTTTAGCTCGGTAGCTGTTTTAAAAGGTTCTTTTTTAGCCTGTCAGACTAAGCGATTGGCCAGCAATGTTGAAATAGAACGTTTTCGACCACGTCTTTTAGGCTTTTCTTAAAATTTTATGGCATTTCTTATCATTTTATCGGAACACTCAACTAAACAACAAACTTCTCTATAAAATTACAATGCTGATATCAACTTTCGGATCAGTTCTCGTTTTTCTGCACTACAATGCTTTCGGTGTCCCATTTTTACATGTAAATGTCTTCTACTAATACGCACTAACATAAAACGAATAAAACAGCAAAAAAAAAAACCAACACTTGCTATTTTCACAATCATTTTTACCATTATCAGAGTATTTTACAACAAAAGAGTGTGTGATGCTATTTTATTTTTCGGTCAAAATTGGCATTTTTGATTAAAATCGAGCAACACCAAGCAGTTTTTTTCCCTAAATGATTTGTTTTAGAAAATAAACATGTTAGCTAATATTTTAAACAGCAAAGCTATGAAAAAATTTTATTTTGCATGGTGTTTTCTTAACAAAAAGGAAAATACGCTTAGTGGTGCTATTTTATTTTTCGCAACTGTGTGTGTATATATATATATATATATATATATATATATATATATATATATATATATATATATATATATATATATATATATATATATATATATATATATATATATATATATATATATATATATATATATATATATATATATATTATACTTGATTCAATAAAAAAGTACAGTTATTAAAATTTTTGTAAAAAATTTTAATAACTGTATAACTCGAAAAAAATTACTTAAATAATAACAATCGCTTTTTTGTTAAAAGTTACTGAAACTCAACGAAGCGTGCTCAAGAACAGCTGCTGAAAAATAGAATGTCAATAGTTTTTTGAATAATTTTTAATAATAATTTTTTCGCTGAAATATGTCTTTTATACCTATAAGATTTTTATTCTAACATTTTATTTTATTTTATTTTACCAAAAATAAAATTCCTCGTAAACATTAAAAAAAATTCGTTAAAGTTTTTTAGTCAAAACGTTCGTTAAAGTTTTTTAGTAATACGAGTGATTGTGCTTATCAACCGCTTTATGAAAATAAAAGTAAATAAATAAAAAAATATTATATAAAATCGCTAGTAAAAATATTAGCTATTGCACAGTTTTTAATCGAACAAAATTAAAATTTCCAGTTTAATACTCGCTGACTTTTAAAAAAGAAAAAATAAATATTTGAAAAACTTTATATTACATATTTGAGAAAAAAAAATCAAATATTAGCATATCTTATAATCTTTTTTAAATGTTTAGTTATAATGTTTTTTATTCGTTTAGTATAGGCAAAACGTGTCAAACGTCGAGAACATAAACAAATGTTTTTACATTTTAAAAAACGAAACCTTCCAAAACATTTTTAAATAATAACATTTCTACATTAATGATTTAAAGTAGTTATGCGGTGATTAAGTAAATTGGTGCAGTTAATGTCGATAAATATAAAAAGCAAATAAAAAGAATTTAATGACGTCAAAAATCACGTCGTGCTTATGCGTCGCGCAGTGTTTATTCATCACAAGGCCTGATATATATATATATATATATATATATATATATATATATATATATATATATATATATATATATATATATATATATATATATCAAGCCTTCCTAGGAAAGGCAAGGGGTTTTTTTCTCATATGACCACGAAAACGTTTTTTAAGTTAGAGAACGTGATCACGGCTATTTGCGCAAGTTATACGTTTTCATAAAGTTGTTTGTCACGTTTTTATAAGTTACTTTAGTTTTAATACTATTTGAACATCCACTTTATTCTTCTAGATATTTTTCTACTTCAATTAAAATTTGGGAATACTAATGTTGCTTAAACAAAGAATGAATTTTAAAAGTTATAAGTGCGTTATAAAAGTAATAACACTATTATAGTGTTATTACTTTTGTAATGCAGTTAGTGACTAGAGTGTTGTTACTTTTGTAATCGTAAGTTTATTGTTTTATTTTTTATTTTTTCGCTAACAAACTTAAGTTGATTCTCCCCTTAAAAATAAGGAACACGAATTTGTATAAACTAAAATTTTGAATACTAGATATTTTTCCAGATTTTGCGTTTTGCATTCGCTTAATTCAACCCTTATTGTTACATTAAAATTATACAAATAAATTTTACAAACACATTGCAATTTGTGTTTTTGCTATCCTCTTAAAAAAAATTAAGAAAAGGAAAATCATTCTTTTTATTGTAGACTTCAAACTGTTTTTTTTTTTTTTGCTTCGCCTTATTTAATTTTGTTGCTGAATGTAACTCTAAAGAAACAAAAATAAAAACAGTACACAAATTATTTAAATTATTAATTTGTTTTTATTTTTTTCTATTTCAATTTCTTTTTATTTTGTTAGTTTTGTTTTTTTTGTTTTTGAAACTTTTTCAGCATTGTTATAAAACTTGCAAACGGCCGTGTTCACGTTTTCTAAAATATTATAATCGCGTGTGGTCATACGAGACAAAAAACCGCATGCCTTTCCTGGGAAGGCTTGATATATATATATATATATATATATATATATATATTATATATATATATATATTAAATAAGATATTATATAGTAGATAAGATATTAGATATTATAAACTTAATTATAAGATTAAGTTAATCGATGTATTGGCAATCATAATACATTGATGAAGTTATTTGAAGTAGGAATAACTTGATTACTGTTTATATAGGAAAAAAAGTATTTTTTTAAATTTTTCTTGACAATAACTCTTTTTTAATTGGTTGTGTTCAATAGATTGCAGAATAAGAGTTGGGTTTGGCAGGTTATGTTTAAAACGGCAAATACTAAACTATAGAAAAAAAAGAATAATGAAAAAAAAAACTTTTTCATTGTTCTTTAAAACTATGAAAAATTTTAAATTAAAAAATATTTTTAATTTCAAAAAATATATATATATTTATAGATAAAATATCATTACAAATAATTACTTACAAACTGATGATTTAAGTTCTTGTAGCCTTGATAAGTCATCCCAGCCAGCAATAAAAATATAACAGAGTACTGAACAGACCTCTGCCCAATGAACCCAAATATCTAAGAAACAAACAAGTAACAAAAACTCTGTTTTATTTTTTAATTACTGTTTACCTATATTTTTAAGCTAAGCACCTTACTTGTTTTGAGGCTAGAAGACTTGCAAGAATGCAAAGTGAAGGCGTCCCAAATAGTTTCAATCGCATTATCATCACAGACATAATCATAAAAGCCACAGTTTGTAGCAACCAGTAAAAATGCTATAAAATTTTTTTTAATGTTAAACATGGATTTATTTGAAATTTTTTTTTTTGAAAAATAATTTTTAATCTACTTTTAATTCATCAGCAGATCATAAAAAGTTAATGGAATAATAGCGACTCTTAATTTTTAGACTTACCTGTACTCAGTATCAAATATTAGTATCCAATTTAGGATATAGATTCTAATATTTTATCAGTTCATACTTATATCTTTAGTTTATTTTTATGTTAATTTTAAACAATGATTTTATTGCAACAGAGCAATTTTAAGTAATATTTAATGAGGAACCACCATCTTCCATTCAAATGTTGCATTTTATTGGTACAACAGGCATTAAACCTTAGACAACACTTTTAACCTACGCTGGGGATTAGAAGATTAGATTGAGAAAGCTGGCTTATGGAAAAAAATGATACTTTTTTAAGTCTTGTCAAGAGTAATTTTCAACCTAGAAAAAATCACAACTACTATAATTAAGTAAATATTGTATTCATTGAAAGGGGTTTAACAGATAACCAACAACCCTAAACTCTATTTATTGCAGTTAGAAATAAAGAAAAATATATTTAATATAAAGTGTAGCTCATGAAAACTTTATCGTTCATCACTGAGCAACACCAAGGAGAAAAAATCTATGTTTTTTTTTTCTACTGTTCAGAATTTATGTTCAAACCAAAAGGTAGTAAAATATAAAATATTTTGATTTTATTTTGTGGAAATTTTGTTTTTTTTAATATTTTTAAAACAAACCCTAAATTATTAAGTTTTACTCCACAATGATCTGTGACAACTGGTTAAGGAGATTTTTAAACTATTTTAGTCTGTATGATATTTTGCTGACGACAACATATTTTCATTAAATAATCATATCTCTGAATTATGACAAGACAAAAAAAGACTTTAACAATAGAAATTTTCAAGTTTTGACTTAAGATAATAGAAAAATGTTAGTGGCAAAAAAACCTAATTTTTTTTTTTAATCTCCTACAAATCACGATTGATTTTCCAGATTTGAGTAAAATTTAAAAAAATATATGTTGTTTAGGTGAAATGAAAATCAAAATTTAGTAATATGATCTATTATGATTGTTTACTGGCAGTTTTTCTTAATTATAAACTATTTCTTGGTCAGAATTCCTAAACTTTGGGTGAAAACTGATAGAAACATTTTGACAACTATAATTAATATGTACCAGAACAGTAATATAATGTATTAGAAATTAATATGTATTAGAACTAGGATCTATAGTGGGTTAACACACTTTTTCAAAAGTTTTAAACTAAAATTAGCTTAATGCTGTTGAGCAAAATTGATCTGAAGACTCAAAAACCGTGTTCTTTAAGTTCACTATTAGAGGTAGTAGAAAAGTTTTGAAAATTATATTAAAAAGAAAGAAAAGATTTTTAAACATAAAAACATGGAGCAAAAAAAAATAACATCTAAAGCTCTTGTTTGGAGATAATACGCTGACAGAATCATGCTAATTCCAAACAAAAGAATTTGAATAATTTAAAAATTGATTTAACTATATCAAGAAGGAAAAAGCTACAACTGCATTTATTGGTGCTACAGTTTCAAATTTCTATTATTATATAGCTGATGTTTAGTATGGGAAACTGTTGCAGTAAAACAAAATGTAAAAAAATGAATCCTAATTGGCTGATTAAAATAAAACAATCTGTATTCTAGATCAAGATTCTAAAATGTCTTTTGGGAAAATTTCTGGATCCTGAGAGTATCAAGTGAAAGTGATAAATAAAATCCATTCCCAAAATAAATAAAATCTAGTCCCTTTTGTACAGTTAAACATAAAATCTAGTCCCTTTTGTACAGTTAAACATAAAATCTAGTCCCTTTTGTACAGTTAAACATAAAATCTAGTCCCTTTTGTACAGTTAAACATAAAATCTAGTCCGTTTTGTACAGTTAAACATAAAATCTAGTCCCTTTTGTACAGTTAAACATATAAAATATAAAAATGTGAATACAAACAGCATTAGTTAAACATAATTACATAAAGAAAAATACTGCTGTGTAAGGAAAACAATAATAAAATACCTCTCTGTAAACAAAAAGAATAATAATAAATACCTCTGTGTAAGGTTTGGTAGGGCTAAAATAAAAAAAATAAAAAAATAAAGACAATTAAGAAATCTTAAAAAAATATATTAATGTATAAATTAAACAAAAATAAATGCAAATGTAAAAGTATTTCTAAACAACATTTTTACTTTGCAACCAATTTTTATGCAGAAGGGCTAATGAGTGGCATAAAGCTCATTTTTATATGAAAAACTTTTTTATTTTTTATTTTTATTATTAAAAGTATTTGCGTTGATTGTTCGAAGTTACGCTTTTTGCAACTTTTGCCTAATTTCAAAGCATTAGCGCCAATAGATTTTGATGTCAAATCCATTTAATTTTTTCAAAAATATTTTCTTTAGGGGTTATCCATAAACTACGTCACTCAATTTTTAAGCATTATTGTTTCTTCTCTCTTCCTTGTCACAACACCATAACTCTTTAGTAACAAATCATGTATGACTGGTCACAAAACCACTAATACCCCCCCCCCCCCTATTCTAGAGTGTGAAGTAATTTTTGGATAACCCATTATGGTTCCTGTATTAAAAAAGAAATACTGTGCTTTTCAATTTAAGAGATATATAGTATGTCAAGTCATGCTGCAAATATTATTTATTATTTTTACTTTATTTTTGCAACAAATTATGTTTTAAAAAGAAAAATACTGTTAAATGGAGTCTTGGATTAAACAAATCCAAACCCAAAATGATTTAACAAATTCAAAATGGTTAAACAAATCCAAATCCAAAAACTTTAAAAGATTGTGCAAAGGACTTTTTATCTATCTATCTATCTATCTATCTATCTATCTATCTATATATATATATATATATATATATATATATATATATATATATATATATATATATATATATATATATATATATATATATATATATATATATATATATATATATACATATATATATATACATATATATATATATACATAAATATATATATATACATATATATATACATATATATATACATATATATATATACATATATATACATATATATATATATATGTATATATATCTATATATATATATATATATATATATATATATATATATATATATATATATATATATATATATATATATATATATATATATATATATATATATATATATATATATATATATATATATATATATATATATATATATATATATATATATTCTAATAATATATATATATATATATATATATATAGACCAAGCACTGTGAAAGAGCACTTAACTAGGAAGTTCACGCTTGAAGTAATCTTGAAGTAAGTAAGACTAGAGCATCGAATCACACATCTTATAATTCTGAAGCAAAGGCTGTAACCACTACTTAATGTCTGCTTTAAATATATGCATATAAATACAATAACAAGCTGTTTTATTCTGGACAATTTGTCTGATAAATACTTAATGTAACTTGCCAAGTTTGGCAAACATGCCTGACAAAACCTAACAAAAAAAGTTACTTTAAAGAAAAAAGTAATCGCCATGACACATAAAAAAATTTGTTTTATAATTTGTCAACACGGCTGAAAATGAAAAGAAAATTGAAAAAATAATTTATCTAAAAAAAGAAAATTTTAAAGGAGAAAAAAACCTAAAAAAGTAAAGTTTGAAAAAGAAAATCTTTTATATTACATTTTTTAAAAATTTTTAAAAAACCTTTTCATAGTATATAAATTACTCTGTTAATTATTTTACACTATAAATACATTAATTGCATTAATTATTATCTTTACTTATTACTTTATTAAATATAGTAACAAATTACTTGTAATGATTGTTTACAAAAAACCCATTTTATTTAAAAATTATCAAAGAATATTATATGTAATTTCATTACATATAATATTTTTTGATAATTTACATATAATATTCTCAAATACATAAATATGTATTTTTTCTATGATAAATCTTTTAAAACTTTTTCTATGATTAATTTTATGAACACTTTTAATAGCAAAACCCTTTAGCACAAAAAACAAACATCACAAAACATAACTCAAACTTTATTGTGCACAATGGGGCCTAATAAAGGAAAAAATGGCCAAAAATCTAAAAATCAAGTTTTAAATTTTTGAAAAATTTAAATGCTAATTTTAAGTCTTATTTGTAGCTGCATCTGAAACAGATTAGTTTGTACTTAAAAAAATTTGGATGTTGAGTAACCATTAGACTCAAACTCAAACTGACCGAAATTTGTGTTAAAATTCCTATTTTGAGTTTATTACATTTACTTTGTGACTGCTGTTTTAAGAATATTAAATTATATATCTATGTAAAGATAATGATTAAGTCTTTCAATATATGCAATAAAATTAATTTAATTTAGTTTATTTCCAATAAAAATATATATATTTATAGCGCTTTTAGTTTGTTTATAACTTAAAAGCTAGAGATATAATTTTGCTGTTGATGGCCGGTGGAAGTCTAACTTGCAATAAATATTTGAAACTTAGTTCAATCAAATTTGATAAAAAGTTAGTCTGTCTTCTACTGTTTGATTCATTGTTTTTCCATTTAAAAAACTTTTTTTTGTCTTTTTTTTAAAAAAAATCTAAAAATAAAGACAGATGGCATTTCTATCAGTATACTGATAGAAATGACATCTGCAGTAACCAGTAATTACTTTATTGGTTACTGCAATAATTATATAAAATTATATAACCAATAATTACAATGTAAGGATTATTGGTTACTGCAGTAACACATAATCCTTACGCAATTCAAAAGCATTGTTCAAAGATAAATAAAACCGTGAAATGTGTAAATACATTTAAAAATGATTATTAAGTATAGTGAAATTGTTGCAATTATAAAACAAAATGATAACATTATCTAGTGATTGAAAAATGCTTGTTGTGTTGTGAAGAAAAACTTAAAAGAGACCTAAAGGAAGAAGAAAAACAAGTTATAACACAGAAAATAAAAAATATAAAAAAGCGATATAACGAACTTTGGAGAAAGCAAGGTTGTTCTTCTGCAAGATTCATGAAATACCATGGAAGTTGGCTTCAAACTGAATACAAGCTTCCAGTAGAGCTTAAATGTGACCCTCAGCCGTCCAGTTCTGAAAAAACGAAAAGAGGAAGACCAACTATGCTATTTTTGGAGATGTCTGCCAGATCCAAGCTCCGAGTTATTGCTTATGTTGTATCTAATAACGAACCCGAAACTGAAATGTACCTCAAAATTGCTGCAACCGTCGCTGCACAAAATGATAAAAAAGACTTATCTCATTTAATTAAACAAGTTATTTAAAGTCAAAATATGGCTGCTGTATTGAATAAGATTAATTCTGAAGTTGTGAGAATGCCACCGGAACAAGCGTTATCGTCTCTTTTTGATACGAATTTGTTCAAAGATCAGTATAATCAAATAAGATTTGCAGCTAAAACCAGGCTTGGTCGAGAAGCGGGTGCGATCGCACTCGATAACTGACCACGGAAATAATATTTAGTTGCAAAAAACCGGCCAGATTTTTTAGTCGTTTTGAGAACATTTAAGTTTATGTATGTTTCCTTGTTTGTCCGCAAAATAATAAGTTCATTTTATCGTAATTTTTAAAATATTTTGTTTTACAGACTTACATGGAAACATACATAAAATTAAATGTTCTCAAACATCTTAGTCTGGAAAAATAAAAAAAGAATATTCGCGAACACAAAAAACCCGCCAAATCTACGAACAACTAATTCTATTGGTTCAAAAAATACTAACCGAAATTTCTAGAGTATTCAAAAAAATACTAACTTAATGTCCTGATTATTCTGTTGAAATATTTTTAAAAATTGTATTTTTGAGTTTTGTTACGTTTTTGTTGAAATTTCTAGCATAAATTATTTTAAGAATATACTATCAAACGAACTATTATTTTAATTCTTGGAGCCACATCTACAAAGCTATAAATGTTTTAAACTAACAATATTTGTTTACAATAATAAATGTTTTTAATTTATATTTTTTGACTTGTCAACATTTTGTAAATATATTTATTAGTATATTCTAATTTATATACTAGGGATGTATTTTTTATGTATGTAATGTATTTTTATGTATGTAAAGTATTTTTATGTATGTAATGTGTTTTTATGTATTTTTTATGTATGTAATTTTATGTATGTGTATTTTATTTATATGTAATCTTTTAAAGCAATATGTGCGATTGATTTTGTAAACAAAAATACTTTCAATAATAACTGCGTTTTTAAGGAAATTATTAATAATCGTCAAAGTTAATACAAATAATTTTAACCACTAATCCATTTTCCTAAGTGTACCCGATAACTAATTATTTCTCCTAAGAAAGAAAAGTTTGTAAGTTCTTAGAAGTTAGTTTACTAACTTCTATTATTTTTGCTTCAGCCATTCTTACAAACTCGTTATACTTAGAGTTACTTTTTTTTGTTTTAAATACTAATTAAAATTATAAAGCACTTACTAAAACATCATCAGCAGTATTGTGAAGCAGTTCCGCTTCCTCCTCACAATGTAATTTAACGTTTTTTTAAATTTCTATCTAGCTAATTGAATTTCTACAGTAACTCAATGATTTAATTATTCTATTTGTTCATCTTACTAAGAAATAAGACATAAGTATATAAATAAGAAATAAGACATAAGTATATAAATAAAAACTGGAAATAAGACATAAGTATATAAATGAAAATTATATATACTCTTTTATAAATCGAAGAACATTTGTTTCTTTATAGTTGTTACTTTATATAAAAAATGTTGCTTAATTTTATTAAAGAAATTAAAAAAGAGCGACGTTTCAAAAATAATTGCTCTAATACATTTATTTTGCTTAAAGTTTTTTCGTGTTAAAAGCTATTTTTTCTTTTTTTAACTGTCTCATCGGTCCAGTTAATCTTACTGCGTTTTTTGTTTGTTTTTGAGATGTTCTCAAAACGACTAAAAAATCTGGCCGGTTTTTCGCAACTAAATAATATTTCTGTGGTCAATTATCGAGTGCAATCGCACCCGCTTCCCGACCAAGCCTGAGCTAAAACTCAAGGTGGCGATATTTTCCTTCCTTATAAGTTGGTATCAGCTGAAAAATCTCAATGTTGTCCAAGTGAAATATTGCAAACAGAAAATTGCATTGAAGTAGAATCGAAGCATTTATTAAAACATACTCTAGAAGAGTATGTTTTAATAAATTAAAAAATAAGAATTAGTAAATTGTAGCATGAACTTATTGAGAAAGAAATTCCTGAAATTAATGTTGTTCAATGAAAATTTATAGTTTCTTATGGCTTTGACGGTAGCACGCAACAAGCAAGGTTCAATCAAGATCTAAGTGAAAAATTTAGTGATAGTTCATTATTTGTGACATCTATGATTCCTTTAAGATTGCAAACAAGCTGTGGAAAAATTTTATAGACTAATCAAACTCCTCAGTCTACTAGATTTTGCCGTCCACAGAGAATCCAATTTGCAAAGGAAAGTAAAGAATACTTAATTTGATTAAAGGAGAAATATGATAAAGAAATTGCTAAACTCAAAGAGGTTGTGATTATTTTAAAGTCTGGAAAGAAACTATTGGTTGAATGTAATCTGTGTTTGACGTTAATAGGTGGAAAGATTCAAGCATTTATTACAAAGACATCTTCGTTTCGACGATGTACTGTGTGTGGTTGTTCTTTAAAAGATATGAATAAACTAGTAAATTTTACAAAAGGAGTATTTAATGTTAACCCAGTAGCTCTACAATATGGTTTAAGTATTCTTCACATGCATACACGCTGTTTCGAAGCAATGTTACACATTTCTTATAAATTAGTTTTGCCTGAAAATCAATGGCAAGTGCATGGAAAAGAAAATGAAGCAATAATAAAAGCAAGGAAGATTGAAATTCAAAGTTGATTCAAAAACAAACTTAACATTCATATAGACATGCCAAAATCAAGCGATGGCAATAGTAATACAGGAAACGTTGCAAAAAGAGCATTTGAAGATCCGAAGCTCTTGTCTGAAATTTTAGACATCAACTTGGAGCTTATTCAAAGATTAAGAATACTTTTGTTGTGTATTTCTTATTGATTTCCAATTGACCCAGTCAAATTTAATGACTATTGCTTCTCAACAGCATCTCGGTATGTTAAATTATATAAAAAATTTCCTGACTCCCACATTACATAAACTTTTGATACATAGCTTGATACACAAAACATATCAAATTCAATTGTCCCTGTTGGCATGTTATCTGAAGAAGCTTCAGAAAGTAGAAATAAAATTTTTAGATAAGATAGAATCAATCATGCTCGAAAAAATAGTCGCCAACACAACCTCTTTGATGTGTTCACACATGCAATGGAGACTTCAGGTCCAATTCTTTCAAGTTCAAGATTACAACAAAGAATTCAAAAGTACAAGAAACATAAGATGCCATCCGAAGTAAGAGAACTAATAATCTTAAATACAAATATTAATAATGAAAACTGTGATGATGATTCTAACAGTGAAAATGATATAGATGATTTTGAAAACAGTCACATGTATGAAACAAATGTAGATTCTGAAATATATCAATAAGATGATGTTATGATTTTTTATAATAAAAATAGCAGACATGGCGCAGTGGTTATAGTGTTGAACTCTTTACCCAGGGGTTGCAAGTTCGAATCGAGTATCAATAAAATTGAACAAAATATTTCGTACAATAACTTTTCTCTATTATTTGCTTGCAACATAGATGGCAGCATGAGTTTTTATCTTTTGTATAAAAAACTTATTGTTCATACTTTATTTTTATTATTCATATTTTCATATAATATTTTACACTTTATTTTAAAAATTTGGAAAAAAGAGGGGGGGGGGCACTCAGCCTTTCACTCCTCACCACTCCCCTCTGTTACCGCGATCCCTTTTATAAATACGCATGTTTTACTTTTTTTTTCCATAAGATTTTTTTAATAAGTTATAAATATGTACTTAAATAATATAGTAAAAAGTAAAAAAAATCACTGAATGTCAATTTATTGCTAAAGAAATTCTTATCAGACTCTATTTCGAAAGAAATGGTCAAAATTTTTTCAAAAAACATTTAATTATTTTTTCATTCAATTTAGAATACTCTTTTTTATAATTGTGCAAAATTTTAAATGGATTGGCAGATTTTTCGACTTTTGGCCATTTTTCCTTTGTTCAGCCCCATTGTTTTGTGTAAAAGCTAAAATAACCGTTAAAAAATTAAAACTTAAGCATCTTTTAAAAATGAATTACCTCAAAATAATTATTTTATTAACGTGTGTTCAGCCAAAGTACCATTTTGTGTTTTGTATAATTTAAAAAAAAAATTGAAAAATGAAGTTATATACTGTTAGTTATATACTAAGTTAATATACTGCCAGACAATGTCCAATGTCCAGACAATATCTCAAAAAAATATGCAACAAAAATAATTTTAAAATGTATTATTAAGGTTTAGAGTTTACAATTTGGTATTGGATCAAAATTAAAACTATTAGAACCATTAAGTGTTTTAAGTTACAAGTCACAGCCAATAGTGAAGGAGCAGTAACCTTAGCAAGCTCCTTGTGTCAACTCTTCTTCTTTTTTAATTGTTTTATAAAACTTACAGTCAACAGTGAGGGAGCAGTCGCCTTAGCAAGTTCCTTGTGTCCATTCTCCATCTTTTTCAATGGGTTTTTAAAACTCTTTATTTAGAGTAGGTTCTAAAGCTTTAATTCACACGCTCTACGTGTCATCTTCAATAAATTTAACTGAAAGTACAGCAAAATTGCAATTTTTATTCAGAAATCTTTCTTAAAACAAGAAATACGTTTTTTATTTTAAAAAATAAATATCCCATCCAGCAGATTATTTCTAAAAAGAAATATATTTCTTGTTTTAAGAAACAGATTTCCTACCTAGAAATTTATTTTTTTAAACAAGAAATATATTTTTTGTTTTGATAAATAAATTTTTTAAGCTATGGTCAATGGATTTATGATTTTGCTGTGAGTTGGATGAGCTGTTGACAACTCACAAAAAATGTACAGAAGAAATCTCATATATACGCATTTTTTCAAACTATGACCAAGAAAACCAAAAAATAATTGGGAGTCAAGACCTAGTATTTGGTACTTATAAACTAAAAACTACTGTCAGAAGGATTTTAACCTTGATTTAATCAGTTCTTACATCTTTTTAGACCTCCCTTTGGGTTGAAAAAATAATTTTTATCATTTCTATGTAATGATGTCAAAAGATGCTAACGCCAGCATTTTAATATTTGGATTCAAACAACTCATATGGTTTTTGCCATCATTTTGATATCATCTCTGCAGCAGGCTCATACTTAGTATAATGGCGCATCTGCCAATAGTCTCATTGATCTTAAAGGTGTAAATTAATAATGCAATGTAAATAAAATAAGGTTTTAAACAACACTGATAAAAAATTATTACATTTAATTTTTACAAAATAAAATCAAAGTGATATTTCTATTGATTTATTTCTATTATATTTCTACTGATTTGAAGAAAAGTTTGTCCGTGGAAAAAAAAAATTGGTTGAGAGTTATTTTTGCAAACCATTGTTTTTAAACAATTTAATTGTTTCTTTTATGAATTATATAAAAACTAGTCTTAAATAATGACAAAAATATCAAAACTTATGAAACTAAATTTTACTTCAAAAGCTGCAGAACCAGAAGAATTCAAAAAACCAGAAAAAAAGAGAGAAATGAAAACTAAATTCTATATCATATAATCTTACTACCTGATAAATGGAATAATCTATGCAATATCTTTTTTTTTTAATTAATATCCCCAAAGCTCCAGAGAGGGCTATTACAGTCTTGTTTCTTTTTTATAAAACATGAAACTTTCTCAACCCTAAACTTCAAATTATGAAGCTTGTTAAACAAAGTTGCTGCATGGTTGCCTCGGTTGGATTTGAACGTTAAATATCTCCATTGTGTTCTGAGTGTTCTACCATTAATTTACTACTGCAATCAATTTATTTAGTAAATCAATTATACTAATTATTATTACTTATTTTGCATAAATAAAATAAAAATCATTACCATTCACTATTCTCCATAATCTTTTCATTACAAATCCAATACTTCCATTCATTAATTAAAATCTAAAAACAGCAATATAATACATATTTGATGCACTGCCCAATAAAATAAATGCAAAAAAAGTTGTTAATAAAATTGTTTCTACCTATTTATATATATATATATATATATATATATATATATATATATATATATATATATATATATATATATATATATATATATATATATATATATATATATATATATATATATATATATATATATGTATATATATATATATATATATATATATATATATATATATATATATACAGGGTTGCCGTGTTGAGGGGTCACTGGGTCACTTTTTACCTGGGCACAGAAACAGAAGGGGTGCACAAATGACTTTTTTTTTTTTTTAATAAAATTAACAGGGCTTCAATGGAAAACTCTTTAAACTCCTAATTTTAAAATATAAGTTTCAAATGAATTATTGACTCAACAATACAGCATTAGCCGAATTAACATTCAGGAGTCTGAGACTATTCAAAACCGTTACAGGAAAATACTCTTAAGGGCTGCTTGGTTTATAAAGAACATATATATACAAATATATGTTCTTTATAAATAAAATGGAGTTAAAAAAGCCAGCAAAATAATCATCACAATCGAGACTATTACATTAAGTAAAAGCTAAAAACATGGGAAATCAGTGTGGAATTGATTCAAGTTTAGAAAAATTGATAAGAAATGAGGCAGCCAGGTGGCGTGAAATTTTAAAGTGCATCTTAGATGTAATTCTCTTCTTAACATCACGCAACCTTAGCTTCAGAGTTATATTTGTGAATATTAATTATTATATTTATATTTATGTTATAATTTATTTTTACAATAATTAAACAGAAAACCATGGTCTATATGTGTAATTAAATCATTGTGTTAGGTTCATCAAAAATGATCAATGATGACAATAATAGCAATTTCCTTGCAACTTTAGAGCTACTCGCAAAGTGCAACAAGACCCTTCAGTTAAATCTAAAAGAAGTTTCTCGCAGTCAACAAGAAGGTAAACAAATTATTGTCCATTATTTGGGTTGGAGTTAACAAAAAAATTTATAGAGTGCGGAAGAATCATCCATGGTGCCATCATTAAAGATGCATATTTTGCAATTTACTATTTCATTCTTGTCGACAGAACGCCTGACGTCTCTTATACTGAGCAAATCGCATTTGTTCTCCGCTTTGTCTACTATGGTATTGATAAAAGATGGATAGTTAAGGAGCACTTTCTTAGGGTCGAAAATCTCAAAAAAATAGAAAGGTGTGGATATTGCTAAGATAATTATGGATGTCTTGGATCAAAATGACATCAATCTGAAGAACTGTCGAGGTCAATGAAATGACAACAATGTCTAGTGTGTACAAAGGAGTACAAGCAATCATCTTTCATAGAAATTCTCAAGCTTTCTACATGCCATGTAACACTCATAACCTTAGCTGGTGTTCATTTCTGTGAATCTTCTGTAGAAATGAAGAACTATTTTGGTCGGATTCAGTTACTCTACAATCTTTTTAGTGGAAGCCCTAAAAGATGGAAAATCTTGACCGAGACGACTGGTTTGTCTCTTCATTAAACCTCACAAACCTGATGGAGTGTACACATTGAGACTGTGAAGCCATTGGTTAGGCAACCTAGAGAAATCCTTTTTTCTTAGCAGAAACTTCGGGAACTTGATTTAACTGCAGATCGATTAAATGATCTGCATGACATAAAATCTTGACATAAAATCTTTGGAGAAATGGATTAATTTATTTGAGTTTATTATCATGACAACCTTCAGGTTCAAAGTGTGTCAAGCAATTAATGTCAGCGTTTCATTTCAATCAGAAAACATTACTTTAGATGATGAGATGAAGCTTATGAGGATTCTTATAGAGGATTTTACTAGGTTTAGATCTTCTTGGCCCAAATTAATTAGTGAAGCACATTTAGTTGCCTCCATTATAGCTAGTTATGGATTTCAGTTAAAATTAGTTTAAAAAAGGACAAGGAAGAGAATAATCTTTTACAAAGAAGCAAGGAATGTTCATTTCTACAAAAACGATGAAAAGTAGTTAGAGGTGAACATATTCAACACTGCTCTCAATACTTTAATCCAACAAATAAGAGACAGATTTTGAGCTGCAGAAAAAACGACAAACAGTTTCTCTTTCCTATGGCTCTCAGAATCTAATAGTATATAAAATTATATATGCATCAAAATGTGCTTTACAGCACATTTTTATGCATATATAATTTAAAGACAGTTCAGTCTAAAAATAATAAAACTTTAAGAAATGTTTAAACAATCAGTGGAACTTTCTGGCAGAAAGTCTTTACATACTAGGATCTAAAACTCAATTTTCTTAGTAACACAAAAAATGAACACAACTTCCTGGTTCTCGGCTAACGAAATGTGTAACTATATGTATTATTGTATAATTACCCAGGTTACTGATTTACTTATTATATAATGCTGTAAAGATATCTTAATATAGTTTATAAAGAAAATCTAAAATAAAGTTTCTGTAATGCTGTAAAGACAACATTGTAAAGAGAGCTACTGTCACAATAAAGTTTTTAAAGAAATTATTCAATTTTTAGCTTGAAATTTTTTAACTTGAAATTTTTTAACTTTTAACAACTTTTTCAGACATTAAAATTATTATTTTAAATTATAACATAAATCACCTAAGTCGCCTAATATAAATACTCATTAAATAAACATAATATATTTCTTTGGCTTCTTTTCTGGTTTTTGAAATCAAAAATCTAAAGATTACAAATTACGGTGGAAGTAGTTCTTGCATCTTAAATATAGGAATGAGTACATGCATCTTAAAAATGTCAATCTTTAAGATGCAATCGAAAAATAATCATCATTATTGAATGAACATAGAAAAAACTTATTTGTGTGAGTACATAATGTCTTATGTTAAGAAGACTGTCTTCTTTATAATATATTATTTTATTTTTCCCATATAAGCAAAATAATCTTCTTTGTAAATTTTACTTTATATGTTTCATATATTTACAATTTTTCAAAACAGGGATGCATGCTTGGCACTGTTAATTTTTTGACACAGAGATGCATGCTTGACGCTGTTAATAATACTAAACTTTATTACAGATAAAATTTATTTTTAACTTGAACTATTTTTCCTTAAATATGTTTGACATTTTTGTACTTGTTTCTTGTGGAGTTAGACTAGTTATTAGATAATTTGTTTAATCCTTTTATATCTACTGGATTTATTTGAAAATAAATATTGTTTTATTTGAGTTATTTGTATTATATTTATATTACAACAATTATGATAGTTTTAATATAGCTTCAAAATATAGTTTCAAAATTTCCTCTCTGCTGAGAGGGAAATTTTGAAACTATATATTGGATGAAAAGATGGTTGGGAAGATGAATGTAACTTTTCTTTTGTTAAGTGATTAATTAACACTGATAAAATCACAACAATGTGATCTCTATTTTACACATGGATTTCAATCTTAAGTTTGTTTGTTTTTTTTTATTGTTTTTTTGTAATATTCACATTTTTTATAAAATGTGACTTTCTCCATCAAAAGCTCCATCAAAAAAATCAGCAGATGCAGATAATTTTTTTATTTAAATAGGAATCAGGAGGTTAGTATTAAAATTGATCAATTAACGTCTTGAGGAAAGACTAATGTAGAGCAATTAAAGAAATTAAAAATGCAAGTAATAAAATCGAAAATTGAAATTATGGATTTGAATTCTAAAAACAAATTCTAAAAACCAACTTAATTAAAAAATAAATAAAAAACAGCTCAATGTAAATATGCATTTGCTAAAAATGTTATTAAAAATGTTTTAAAAGTGTTAAAAATGCAAGATAGCTTTAAAAAATTAACTGAGAAATTTTTTTTTTAATTGCAAACGTTCAGGGTATAAAATATATTGCAAACGCTCGGGGTATAAATAGCACAGTCAAAATTTTTTGACAACATTTAGAAAAATTTGGCATGTTCAGATCATTCATTTTTTATTGCAAGAACAAACAAATGGTTCATGAAGTACACAAATGGTTCACGAAGTACATATTTTTTTTGGTAGAATAAATAACCACAACTAAAAAATTGCTGAAAGTTATAAGTGTCAAGACTTTTTATATATTATGTAACACAACTTTTTCAAAATGATAAATTAAAAACCAAAAAAAAAAAATGCATATAATTGTTTGCATTTAAATTGCAAAATTCTAATAACTTTTTGAAAAGTGACATTATGTAACTTGTTATTTTGTTTAATAAAATAAAATAAAGAAAAATCATATATGTACTTTATAATAAAATAGAAAAATGAACATAAAGATAATAATAAAACATTTTAAATAAATATTCAAATTGATAATATAATAAACATTTAAAACTAAAAATAAATATATATATAAAATTTAAATAACTTACTTTAACTAACACAACAAAACCAACAAAAATTGCAGTTGGAAGAAGCAAAGTCTTTGATACATTATTTGCATACTAGAAAAAATAAAACAAAACTTCATAAATTTTTTTTATGTTTCACTATTAATAGTTCAATATAAATGGAACAAGTACAAATCTAAAAAATTTAATAAAAACTAGGGTTACAAAATAGAATTCACATAATTTTTACTGTCATCATCATTAAAATGACAATTATCACCATTATCATCATTGTTACCTTCATCACCACAATTGTCATTACGCTCATTTTTACACTCATTATCGTCACCTTAACACCCAATGTGTACACCTAAACCATTATTTTCACCTTAACACTCAATGTGTACACCAAAAACATCATTATTGTCACTTTAACACTCAATGTGTACACCTAAACCATCATTAATGTCACCTTAACACTCAATGTGTACACCTAAACCATCATTTATCTATTAAATAAGCTGAGTTTATTATTTCAAACCTTTTCTCATAATTTATTCTTCTGTACTTAAGGTAAACACATGAATTTTAACTGATGATTTTTTTTTTTAAACCTACATTGTGCCACCTCTGCTTCACTTCATTACATCTTAACATAACTAGAATCAGATCCTGTATAGTTTAAAAGCACCACTTTCTAGTAGCATAAAGGTTACAACCAATTTACTCAACATTTTACTCTTTATGCCCCCACAGCTCAAACTTGAATCTTAGACAAATTTAATCAAATTTACTGTCTTTTAGAAAGTATTGTGTTTTTGTAAAAAGTTTACTTAAAACTTCATTAAGTTACATTAATAGAACACACAAATAGAACACACAAATAAATTCTAATTTTCTACTCAAATATTACAATTACTTTATGAGTTTTCAAAATTTTTGTACTTCTTTTTAACCTTAAGGTAACTGTCCTCATTCTTTATAAACTTCTAAATAGCCTAAAGTTTATCTTGCTTATTTAACAGGCAAACCTCAAACTCACTGAGGTATATGAAATTAAAAGAGAAAAATATGTTTAACAAATTAAATTATTTGATTTGTAAATAAAACTTAATAAAACTTATCTGGTAAAAAATTAAAAGAATAATAAAGCAAAATGGCAAAAGCAAAATGGCAAAACAAATATACTGTTATCACCAAGTTAAAAAGATAAATAAAAAAAGCAATAAGAATATATATTAATAAATACCTCAAAACCTAAAAAATCAAACTCAGGAGCACAGACATAAAGCAAAGTATGGAAATCTTTAAAGTCAGAAAACTTGGATTTTAGAATATCAAAAATATGAGCCTGAAATAAAAAAATCAGTGCAAATAAAACTGCAAATAAAACTGCAAAAAGAATTAAAAATGCCATGCAAAAGATATTAAAACAACAACTAATAGAAAAAAAGCAATTACATCATCTTTAATTTGAAACAGCTTAGCAGTACCAACTTTGATGACAACAGACATGAACAAAAAAAAACCAGCTTGTGATACCTAGGAAAAAATACAATACACCAAAAACAAAACTTGCTGAGAGCAATACCTTTACTCATTTTAATTTTAAACTTAAATAAATATAAACAAAGCTTTTGTTGCAAAGAATTATGTTTACTCAATGAGTTTATAAACAAATTCTTATAATAAAGTTTTAAACCAGTAATTGTTACTTCTGGCAATGTTTTTTCCATACTTTTTAAATTTTTTGATAATCTATTAAAGTACTAGATTATACGACTGTTTTAATTGCTTTACTTTGCTTTTTTATACAGCAATCAACTGTTGACTAAATTATATAATTTAACTAACTGTGAATATCGATGGTTAAGAGCACAAAGGGAATATGTCCAACATTAAACATTAGGTAAACATTAAACAAATTAGGTATTAAAGTATGTAAAAGAAATGAAAATAAAATAGTAAAAAACAAGACAAAATTAATTGAGGAATGCATTTGGTTAAAAATCATGACAATAAAAAAATATCATGAATTATTGTATGTTTTCAAACTTTCAAATTCAGATTTCTCAAAACAATGGTTAGTGGACGTATTCCCTTTGATCAATATATATTTATTATAATAGTAACTAATTAATATATATTTATTATACTAGACAATATGTCTCTGCTTACTTTTATTTATTATGCAAATGTTTATTACTATTTGACTTTTTAGCTTTCTCTAGCACTATAAAATATTCTGTATGCAAGAACTTGTTATCTTGAATAAGATAATAGATAATAAGATTATATATAATGAAAAAAATAAGCAAAGACTTATCCTTGAATATCTTCATTTCAGAAATTGAAAATTTACAACATATTTTGAACCACTTTTTATTGATTTTATTTATATCATTTATACCATGAACTATTTTTTATAATTTACTTATATATAATCTCTAGATAATCCGCATTGTATCTCGGTTATCGACTGGTATTAGTTTGATACTATACAGTATTGATATTGAGATCACGTGATACTGATATCGAAGATATCAGTGTTGTTTTGGTATCAATAGTATCATTTGGTATGGCAATTTGGTTCATCACAAAAATTTGTGCTCGAAAACTCGCAGGAAACAAGGAAACTAAGTGGCAAATGATAGATATAATGTAGGAATTATGTTAATAAATCCCAGTAAGCTCAATTCAGCGTGTTATATAATAATCAGAGGAAATATTATAGTGAAAACTAAATAATTAGTAGTATATATTTAATTACATAACTTTAGGTTTCAAGTAATAGCGATCATTAGATGTAGCATAAACTCTTTTTGTTTACTAAGTAAATTTAAAGGCAATGTAATAATGTTGTATTTTTTGTCAAGCATTAGTTTCAATATTTACTGTAAGGTTTGAATGGCTCTGCTTAATCAAAAATAATTTAAGTTAGCTCTAAACCCTTATATTTGCAATCCCATACAAATTAGACAAGTCAAGCAGTGTTGCTAAATTGATTATAATTTATTTTATTTTATTTTTTATTAATTTTTTTTTTTGGGAGGGGGGGAGGGGTTACTCATAGAAAAACTTAATAACTGCTATTATGTTGTAATAATAAACTAAATAAAAACTAAAGGTCAGAAGCGAGCAGAACTGAAAATATTATATATATAAATTTTATTATATTTTATAATATGTCAAGTTAAATAGTTATTTGTGATTTATTTACAAATAGCCCATATTATGGGTTCCTTACTCCTAGTGTACATAAAAAGAGAAAGACGTTCTGCAGTGTAGATTAATTAAAATTAATAACTAAAATAAAAGTTATCTGAGATATTGAAAAAAATACACAAAAATGTTTAAACTAAAAACTTGGGGTACACATATGTACATTTACACTAGAGTTGAAAGAATAGTTCAACTTTAGCTTTGTTTGTCAATATGTTGGCAAGGATTTTTTTGTCTACATTGTATTTGATGTTTTGTCTACTTTGCACTTTATGACTTATGATCTCAAAGATTTTGAGATAATCAAGTAAAAATTATTTAATAATCAACTTTGAACCTCTGGCGCGGTGTTCGCTCACCCGTAAGTTACTTTATGTTCTTTATGTATGTCTGTATTCTGTCTGAACCTCTGGCGCGGTGTTAACTCACCCGTATGTTACTTTATGTTTATGTTTTTTATGTTTTTTTATGTATGTTTGTATTCTGTCTGAACCTCTGGCGCGGTGTTGGCTCACCCGTAAGTTACTTTATGTTTTTTATGTATGTTTGTGTTCTGTCTGAACCTCTGGCGCGGTGTTGACTCACCCGTAAGTTGATTTATGTTTGTTTGTGTTCTGTTTATACTCTAATGCAGCGTGAGCTCAGTAACTAACTACTTACTCCAACTACAAAACCTACACTCACCTTAGACTCCTGTATTTTGTTAGATACAGTGTTTTTCCTAATGCACTTCCAAAATGTCATGCCTGGTTTTCTCAAAGTACTGTTGCGGGAAGTAGCTCCTTTTAACTACTCTAGGTCAAGTCAGGATAATCAAGATCAATCTTGCTACTGGTATCACGTAACCCAGTACCACCTGCCACAAGCCCAATTTAGGAGAAATTAGCTCCGACTAAAAATTCCCCTGCCTTGGGGCTCTTGGTTGAGTAAAGGCTAGAGATGGTATCTCGATAAAAACACTCATCTTGGGCAGATGTTAACTGCACCCAGCTAAACATCCCCTGCCTTGGGGCTCTTGGTTGAGTAAAGGCTAGAGATGGTGTCTCAATAACAATACTCATCTTGGGCAGATGTTAACTGCATCCAGCTACTGTCTTGTAGAAGGCCTCCTACGCAAAGACTTTAGGGGTAAGCAGAAAAATTCTGCTAACCAGCCTCGAACCCCTTCTTCATCTATTAGGCTGGGGTAGATGTAACCTGCATTACATTGTTTCCTGCCTAGGATGATGAATGCTGGATCTCCTTGACTCTACTCATAGAATTTAGCTTATGCCTTCTTGATAATAACTATGCAACTCTTCCTGTTATCTCCATATGAGGGTACAGCTCTAAAACTCAGTTTAATGGTTCTGAGGCCGGCTGGTAGTAAGGATTCCCGAACTCTGTGGTAGCTCTCAGAGAGGCTGATTCCATCAACAGCTGCAAAATATTGGAGTATTAACAGTGTCATGTTGCGCATGGATGGTGTCCCTGTTAATGCTTTTGGTGTGCATTGTCAAGGCCACATAAGGAGCCCTATGTCACGGCTTAGGGTTAATTAACAGGACTGAGACAACTGCATAGCTCATTGATTAGGAGGCTGTGCTCTATCTATGAATGAGTCAAGTTCTCAATAAACCCAAATCATGACTAAAGTAACCAAAAATTTAAAACCTAAAAAACCATCCCCACCACCTAAATATTTTAATATATCTTTTACAAATATTCGCGGTCTACGAAGCAACTTTCCGTCAGTTGAGTCTTACCTCTTGCAAAATTTACCAGACTTGCTTGCACTCAGTGAAACAAATTTAAATTCTGCTATTCCTTCTTCAGATGTCAGTGTTGATGGGTACTATCCTTTGATTCGTAAAGACTCAAATAGTCACATGCTAGGTTTAGGGGTATACATACGCATTAATTCCCCTATTTGTCGTGAAATCAGGTTCGAATCCTTTGACCATTCTTTTATGTGCTTTCGCCTAGCACCTCTTCACTCTATCACCTTTCTCTTTGCTCTTTATTGTTCTCCTTCTTCCCATGATTGCACTCTCTTAGATGTTATCTCTGATCAAATTGACCATGCCCTCTCTCTTCACCCCTCTGCCAATATTGTTGTTGTTGGTGATTTTAATGCCCATCAAACTGAATGGCTTGGCTCTAACACCACTGATCCTGCTGGCACTAAAGCCTTTAACTTCTGCGTTTCTCAATCTCTTACTCAGATAGTTAACTTTGTGACTCGTTTTCCTGACAACCCTAATCATTTACCTTCACTCCTTGACTTATGTCTTGTCTCTGACCCTAGCTTATGTTCAGTTTCTCCCTTTTCTCCCTTCAGGTGGTTCTGACCATGCAATGATCTCTATAAATCTTTCTTCTCGTACTTCTTTTTTGGGCTCACCTTATCATTGCACCACCTACTACTACCCTAAAGCTGACTGGGACTCCTTTCGTGATTTTCTTCGTGATGGTCCTTGGGCTGATGTTTTTTCTCTCTCAGCTGATAAATGCGCCTCCTACGTAACCTCCTGGATTCAGGCTGGAATGGAAGCTTTTATTCCTTCTCATCGGTTTCAAGTCAAGCCTCATTCTACTCCTTGATTTTCTCCTTTATGTGCGGCTGCTATATCCAATCGTAACCATTTTTTTCATCTTTTTCAAAAAAACAACTCTTTCGAGAACAAACGGCTATTTATTATTGCAAAGAATCGATGTAAAAAGGTGCTTTCTGATGCTAAACTCCATTATTCTCAGTTCACTAAATCTCGCATCTTATCACAGAAGTTAGGCTCTAAAGACTTTTGGAAAATCTTCAACAGCATTATTAACAAGGGTAGATCTAACATTTCATCTTTCATTCATGGGACTGATCTTATTACCTCTCCCAAGGATAAGGCAGAACTGTTTGCAAAGAACTTTTCTTCTAATTCCACTCTTGAATCTTATGGACATTCTCTTCCTTCCATTCCAGTCAAACAGGTTGACCCATTGTTAGACATTCAAATCACTCCGGCTTCTGTTGCTAAAGTCATATCTCAATTAAACTTGTCTACAGCTTGTGGTCCAGACAACATTCCTGTCACAGTCTTGCAGAATTGTTCTCCAGAACTTTCTTCAATTCTCTCTAAACTATTTAACAAGTGTTTGACTGAGTCTTGTTTTCCTGCTTGTTGGAAAATGGCATCTGTGGTTCCAATATTCAAAAACTCTGGAGAAAATTCTGACCCCTCCAATTATCGTCCAATCAGTCTTCTTTCTGTTATTAGCAAGGTCTTTGAGTCTTTGATCAACAAATTCCTCACATCTCATCTTGAGTCAAATAAACTGCTGTCAGACAATCAATATGTTTTTCAATCCTCTCGCTCTACGGCCGACTTGCTAACTGCTGTAACTGAAAGATTTTATCGTGCATTAGATGGAGGCGGTGAGGCTAGGGCTATTGCTCTCGACATATCTAAAGCTTTCAACAAAGTTTGGCATGCTGGTCTTCTCCATAAGCTTGCTTCATATGGTGTTTCTGGGAAAGTTTTTGAGATTATCAAATCATTTCTTTCTAACCGGTTTATTAAAGTCATCCTTGAAGGCCAACACTCTTCTTTATTTCCAGTAACTTCAGGGATTCCCCTAAGGTTCCATCCTGGGCCCTGTTTTGTTTCTTATCTACATAAACAATCTTCCTGACAACCTTTCATCTAAAGTAGCTCTTTTTGCTGATGACTCAACTTTATACTCCTGTCTTGACAAAAAGTCTTCTCTTTTCGATCGCCTAGAACAAGCAGCTGATCTTGAATCTGATCTCACTTTAGTAATAGATTGGGGTTCACAGTGGCTTGTGAATTTCAACTCTAAAAAAACCCAATTGCTTACTGCAAACAACTACCGTAATATGGTTTAACATTCCTATATTAATGAATGGCAATCCTCTTACTGAGTCCTCCTCTTTACGTCTTCTTGGATTATCGCTTACTACTGACCTTTCATGGAAACCATATATACAATCGATTGCTAAATTAGCTTCTGCTAAGGTTGCTTTTCTTTATCGTGCTCGCCATTTCCTTACTTCTGATTCCATTCTCTACCTCTACAAATTTCATATTCGTCCCTGTTTGGAATGCTGTTGTCATATTTGGGCTGGTTCTTCTAACGATTCACTTTCTCTTCTTGACAAGGTCCAAAAACGCATTGTAAATGTTGTTGGACCTGGACTATCTGCTAAGCTTGAACCTCTTTCCCATCGTCGTAAAAATGCATCTCTTTCTCTTTTCTACAGATACTATCATGGTCACTGCTCAAAGGAGTTATCATCTCTAGTTCCATCAACTAAAATTCATTCTCGTTTTACTCGTCATTCAGCTAAGTCTCATTCGTTTACTGTATCTGTCCCTGCATGCTCTAAAAACTTTTATTCATCTAGTTTTTTTCCCCGCACTTCAATCCTTTGGAACTCTCTCCCATCTTCATGTTTTCCTGACTCATACAACCTTCAACTTTTCAAGTCTTCTGTCAACCGTTTCCTTGCTCTATAACTCTGTTTTTTTTTTTCCTAGTAACTCCCAACTTAATAGTGGTTGCTTGCAGCCTTGTTGGGAGTGAATGCAAATAAAATATTAAAAAAAAAAAAAAAAAAGATAATGATGCAATTATCAGTAACCGTAAAGAAAATCAGTAACAGTAAAGAAAACTTATTTTTGAAAATAAATATTGTTAATAAGTAATTTAATTTTATTTTTTATTTTTCATTTTAGATTTTTATTATATTTTGTTGCAATATGTTGTTTGCTTAGAGAAGAAATTTTCTCTGATAAATTTTACTATAAAACTTTACCAATACAAAGAAATAATAAGAAATGTAAAATAATATAGAACAATAAAGAACATAAAATTAAAAAAATAAAATAATATAAAATATTTAAAAAATAATAATAGTAAAGAATATAAAAAATAATAATAAAAAAAAAAATAAAGAAAATTAAAAAAAAAAAAAAAAGGATAATAAAGAGAAAACTAATTTTAAAAAATAAAAATGAAAAATAAAGTATAGTTTTTAAAAAAAAAAAAAAATCATAACTAAAAACTTACCCAAATTAAAATGCGATGAGGTAATTTTTCAAAATAAACCTCTAACTTGATAACAACCTTTAAACAAATGATTTTTCTTACAGAAGTACAATATTTAAAAAATAAAAATAGTATAAAAGTTATATTAAAATTAACTCAAATAATTCATATTTTCATATGAATAGACATTCATATTATTAATAAATAATTAACATTCAAATAATTGTTCCAGAGAACAATTCAATTTTTTGACACTTTGTTGAAAAAAAAGCTTTTATTAATATTCTTTTTCTTTTCTCTAAAACTTGTTACTGAATTAAGATGCATATTTCAAAAAGTAAAGTAAATGGAATATAGCAATACCATATAGATTATAATATGAAATAGTAAGTTATATATGCATTTGGTAAAAAAATTTTAACTGTTTTTGTCTTAAAATAAGGTATGTTGCCTGCCAAAATCTAAATACTCAGTTGATGAAAGTACCGAAGGTACAAACATTTTAAGTATCCAAGTGTGTTCCAAGCTTAATTGTATGATAAATTAACAGCAAATTACTTCAACCAGTCTTGCAAAAAATTTTAAAAAAAAATGCATTTTTATCAATGTAACTTGTGTAGTTGTAGCTAATGAACTTCTCCTTAGAATTATGTCAATTATTACTTGTTAAAATGTTTTTGTTATGGAAAACAAAATAAACTGTTCAGTTGATTGGCTAATTAACTAGACAGAATATTTATTGCATGTTAATGAATATACAATGTGCTATGTATTTAAGAAGTTGATATTGAATTATTAAAAAAAAAAATCGAAACTCCATTCTAAATATTTTGTGTGGCAATCAATTGCTCAACATAGTCTTTAGTTTGTACATCACAACAAATAGCAACTTTAACTCAAAGAATGTTTAACAAAACACCTATTTGAAAACAATTAGAAATCAGATCAAAGTTGCTAACCAGATATTGTTAACTCGCCATATGCCTGGACTAGGCGTGATTGCATAAAAGAAACAAAAATTGAAAATGTAACCAAAAAGAATATTTCTGGGAACTGAGTTAGAACAGACTGGGCTTTTTTTTAATTTTTAAATATTTCTTACAGTTACAGTACAGATTTTATTTTTATTCAAACTTAGCTTGATCATGTTGAAAAACAAAACCATGTAACCATGATCATGAATGTATATATTATACTAACCTGATAATTTTAGGGTGGCAAAAATTAAGAGCAATAAAACTTACCAATGCAGATATCATGGCAGCCATAAAAAATGAACTAAAAATAAAAAACGTTTTTTCCTCACTCAAAAAATGATAACAAAGTCATTTTTACATTTTAATTAATTAGTAAAACTATTTTATAAAATCAATTCACTCAGATTTATTATTTCAATTTTAAATCAGTAAATATGTAAACTAGCATAAGGTACAAATAATGTCTAATCCAAATTTTAGCTCAAAATATCATTATTAAATTAAGTGTGAGATGTACTATTGGAGTACAATGTATTAAAAAAAATGTGTTCTATAAATGAAACAAGCTAATACTGTAATGAAATAATATACTAGTAAATTATAGTTACTAGTTGCTTAGCAACTAATAATTATAAACAATTAAAAGTAGTAAAAGCTTTAGAAAGCTCTTACAAATCTTGAATTTCAACTATAAAAATAACATCAATATAAACTTTACAAAGAAATAAATGTCTAAAAATTTAATCTAACCTGATTAACAATGTGTTAGCCAATTGAAATACGAAATTTAAATAATGAGATAACTAAATAAATAACAAGATAATTAAATAACAAGACAACTAAATAAATAAGAAAAATGAAGATAACTTAAAATATGATGTGACAAAAAAATAAAGAGATAAATAAGTAAATTAGTATAAACTTTAACAAATTATTTAAAAAAACTATTAATTATTAATTATTTAAAAAAACAATATGCATTATACTTACTAAAAGTCCATATAAAATAATTGTTATCCTTTTAGAATCAATAAATTTCAACAGATATAAACCAAAGATCGCACACACCTAAATAATAATATATATTTTTATTTTTTAATTTTTTTTTCAGAAACTTTCAGATCAATTCATGATTATTGAGATCATGATATGAAATTAACCTTGGAGAGGTCAACATATAAAAAATTAGTTTTTTTAATAAAAAGATATTTGCTGCTGGAAAGTATCTTATCATTTATCATAAATTTATTATAATAGGGTTGCACAAATCTAGACTTTTTTAGAAGTCTTATAAATGCTTAATAAATTCTTGTACTTTTAATAATTCTGAATCAGTGCATAATACTTAAAAAATTTATAATTGATGTTTTGGGCTAGTTATATTAAGTTAATTCAAAATGGAGGCTTAGTTTGTTATTTGCAATGAATATAAGCAAGATTGGCGAATCAAAACACAAAACATTATATTTTATGTGTTTCGATTTGCAATGACATATACTATTTTTTATATATATATATATATATATATATACATATATATATATATATATATATATATATATATATATATATATATATATATATATATATATATATATATATATATATATATTATTCACCTCCTCAAGGCCAAGAAGGCCACTACAGACGAGGAGGCTACTTATATATATATATATATATATATATATATATATATATATATATATATATATATATATATATATATATATATATATGACAAACACATAACATTATATAATAAAACAGATATCATGCTAAGACTTGAGTTATACATTCAGAATTTTATTTCTCCCAAATACCCATGAAGAGTCTTGATGACTTTGGATAGAACGGCTACCAAAAAGCAATCTTTACCATTGTCTAAATTTGTCAGTTCCCCTTGCCTCTTGGCAACTTCTGGCTTGGCAACTTCTGGTAGCTTTTGTTTAAAAATCTTTGACTCTAGTCCAACTACAGTGGTACACCAATTGTACACCCTGGTCATCGATTGTCATTGATTCCTAGTAACGCAAACAATGGGATAATTATCATCTTGCCCAGCTCTTTGTAAATTTTTGTACAGTATCAAAACCACTCATTGTTGATGTATGCTGAATTATTTGCTTCCTATTTGACAAATAGCTTTGAAACCATTTAATGTTGATGCATGACACATTGTTGATGAATGATTTATGGTGTTCTGGCCAAAACACTTTTGATATTTTTGCTATCTAAAGGTTCAAGAGTTTCTTGGCCAAATTGCCAAGAAACTTATAAATCCAGTATGCTTTAGTTTATTTTCAATCCATTTATTCATCATAGAATATATAGCATGGCTTAGCAATAATAACATAGCTATAAGAACAAGGGTGTGAATAATGGAGCCAGACTTTTTACACAGAAGTGTTAAACACTTCAATTTATGCTTTTGCTAAATTTTTGCACAAATAGCTAATATTTTTTAAGTAACCTGTTGTAAATATTCCACCCTTCATATTTGGACTATAAACAGTTATGTGGTAAACATTCATATAATAAAGTTTGTGATCATCGCCTTAATGTCTATTGTAACAAAGTTATCTTGCTTATTTACATTGCCTTAGCAACCAGTTCAAGGTTCTGGTATGAAGCGCCTTCAAGATACGCAATGATTCATTTCCTACTAAGAAATATATCTGTATGATCTACAAGATGCCTTTTGACCATTTTTCCTTTTTTTACTATTTTCATCTTAGTTGAAATTACTGGAAACTGATGTACTCCACATCTGATCAAAAATTGCATTTGATGTCATAACTATGATACGAGATGCTTCTTCTTTGCAAACATGACTGTTGCTAGTTGATTCTGATTGCATTTTCTCATAATACAGAAAACGTCTTTTAACCCTACTGGCAGTCTAGGACTATTTCTTACACACAGTACTTTCATGGCAATTGTATAAAACCTCCTATGCGTACATATACTTGAAGGTGTTACCCCTCCCCCCCCCCCCAAAAAAAAAAAAAAAAACTATAGTTATTTCTATAATGTGAATAGACAAAATTAAAACTGAAAATAATTCTGAGAAATAAAACCCTAAACTTGAAGAATTTATAATAATCTATTTAATATATGTTCATTACAAGTATTAAAGAACAGAACTTAAGTTGCTCCCTATGATACTAAACAACTAAAAATCTGTAGCATTTCAATGTCAATCATTTCAGTTATTTTTCATTGAAACTAAACTGCTGATTAACTAAAAACTACACAATTTTTTTCCTTCTGCTGGACTGATTTCTAACTCTGAGGCATATATTTGCACAAAGTAGCATAAATTCTGTTGTATCTATCAGTGTTGTCCAATTTTTTACAAAGATATAACATTTATCTGATGATAAATGCTTCTAATTATAATTTGTTTTTTATAATAAATTCTTTATCTTTAACATATTTTTCAGATAGAAGCTGTTTAGAGACAGCCTTCTAATAGGAAAGGTTAGGATGTTCATGAAAGAAAAGTAAAAGATCATTTTGTGTTCTTTTGTCTTTCTATTAGCGGTTTACTAATACAAATCTAGCCGTGCAGACAATGCTAGTGCTTGCAGACAATCACAAAAAATTTAAACATTAAAAGACTAACAAACGGCTAAACATATTAAAAGGCTAACAAACGGCTAAACATATTAAATGGCTAACAAACACTATTAGAGAGATAAAATATTTATATTTTTCAAAATATTGTAGAGAATTTCCCTAAAACAATAATGAAATCGTTGTTATTATTTTTCTATCTGAAAGTGAATCATATTCTTACAAATATAAACTATATATATACATTTTACAACCGCTATTACCAGTGCTTTAAAAGACTTGATTCTCAACACACACAAAGTTATAAAAATTTTAAATAATTTCAAACCCTATGGATTTGGAAACCAACCCAAAATGTAGGAATAGCAAAAAAAGACTTCTGCATTCAGTTTGATAAGAGCCTATGATTCATACAATTTACATACAATTATTTCCAGATCAACCCTAATGATAACTTTTATTTGTATTTTATTTGAAAAGTTTTTATTTAAAAGTTAAATACTACAAAATGATCCTTTTATACAAACAATCTTCCTAAACAAACACCAACAGATTTATTAAAAATTTAATTTGTTTTTTTTGCAACTAGTCTACTAGAGATTCATTAACATGTTTTCAAAACAATTTGTTTAAAATCACTTGAACTAACTAGAACTAACTAGAAACAATTTGTTTAAAATCACTTGAACTAACTAGAACTAACTAGAAACAATTTGTTTAAAATCACTTGAACTAACTAGAAAAAAAACACATAACAACATTTTTTTGTGATAACTTGTTGAAATAGATCTAATATAAACAAAAAGATTTTTTTAATCGTTGCAAGTTATAAAAAGTTTTTTGTTATAAAAAATATATAGAAATATGAAAAAAATATAGAAAACAAATTTCAAAAATCTAATATAAAAAAAAAGAACAAACCTGAGTTAATAAAGCAAACTGTGCAAACTAAAACATAAACAAAAAAATATAGATAATAAATGTTAAAATTTAACAGATAATTGTTAAATTTTATTGAAAAACTAGACTATAACATTAAATTTAATAAAAACCTTTAATAAAAAAATCAACACAAGAAATTTGCAATAAAAGATGAATACTTATATAGAATTATTATACTTATATATAATTGATATACTTGTTTGGATTTATTATACTTATACTTATTTATTATACTTATATATGATTATTATACTTCATATTATAACTCATTATTCCTTACTTGCCAAGGAAGCATGAAACAAGTAGTAATAATTGATAACAAAACGCTATGTCTAAGATTTGGTGATGGACATCTAAAAATAAACTTTAACTTTTCAAAAGCATTACAAAACTTACAAAACCAAAAAAAATACCGAATTATTTTTTTAATTAAACAATAAATACTAACAGCCTGATACCAATGATCAATGATCTGATGCTAATGGTCTGATACAATGGGCTGCTAATGATCTAGTTAGAACCAAACCATAATAAATAACTTAGCATACAAACTAGGTAACAAGGTTTTTGAAAACATTCTAACCTTGTCAGGGTTTATTCTAAACCTTTTTCGACAGCATTGACCATATTTTGATGCTGCCCAAATTTAAAATTAAGGACCTTTTTTTTTTTAAACATTCATGGCAAATATTGTATTTATTATTATAAAAAAACACCTATATTCGGCGATAGTTCCGCTAAATTTTTCCGGGATGGGGGTGGAGGTATAATGCCGCCCAAAATTTTTTTTTTAGAATAGTCCCTGCTTATAACAACACTGTAATGAAAACGGTTTCAATTTTTTAGTTTATATCAATAAAAAAAAAAAAAAAAATTAAAGTTAAAATTTACACATCCGATGAAATTTAAGAATTGCCCCAGGTTGAAATAAAATAGCGGCATTAACACACTCGCTGCCAAGCCTTTTTTAGCAAGACGTTATCTAATTGACAAACAGTAAAATTTGCATTGTGTAAAATTTCTGCCAGAGCTGTTTAGCGTGGTTTCATTCTAAATGCCAAGGCTAGAGATCCACATTTTAATAAAAATCATTTTTTTAATCAAATATAATTTTAAAGCACTTTTTATGCTTATACTTTAGCAATTGAGAATGTTTCTTCAGTGAGAATGTTTCTTCAGTGAGAATGTTTCTTCAGTGAGAATGTTTCTTCAGTGAGAATGTTTCTTCAGTGAGAATGTTTCTTCAGTGAGAATATTTCTTCAGTGAGAATGTTTCTTCAGTTATGAGTATACTCATAAGTGTTTTAGAACAGAAATTGTTGCAGTGTAGAGCAATGTAGCTTATTTGATGCATGATTAGTTAACAATGTTTTGATTTTGATTAGTTAACAAAGTTTTGATTTTTTTGGACATATTTAGCAATAATCATGGATAGAAAAGGTCGTTTATCAACATTTTGTTATCTTAAATCCAATTACATGTATTAAACCATAATTTAAATTTTATTTGAGACTATTCAACATTATTAAAAAACATTATTTAATTTTGATTTTTTATTAATTATTTTGATCATTTCATTCACATTTACAAATTAATATTTTTTATACTATATATTTATATATATATATTTTATTATATTATTTTATTATATATTTCATTCTTCACAAGTTATTTTTTGTCTTCCAGCTGGACTGTATCAAAATCTAAATCTAAAGTCAACAAAGCTGAGAAAAGATATATGCATCAGTCTGACATTTATTTAGCAGCCACTGCAGAAGAGTCTGTAAAATCACCAAAAAGAGCCTGAACAAAGGGCAGGCTTCCTTATAGATCAACTTTAAACAATTCTCAACAAGTAAATCCTGAAAAAGACAATAAGTAAATCCTGAAAATGACGTATCACAACATTTTGTAATATATCCACCATCAAATAAAAACAAACTGAAAGACAAGCCAAATGTTGTACAAAGGTATTATAAAGCAATCCAAGGGATTAAGTTTTGGGGAAGAATCCCTCTAGTCAACAACACTACCCTTCATTACTTGGCTGCTATTATCCACCAAATGAAGTCAAGAAATTGCCCACAAAATCATGTAGTGTTTGCTCCAAAATGAAACGTAAGAAAACATACTATCAATGCATTGTTTGTGAAAGCAAACTTCCGTTATGTGTTGGCAAATGTTTTAAAATATACCATGTAAAAATGAAAGCTCTGCAAAAAATTTTCATTAAAATAAACATAAAAAATACTAATTAATGATTGCATATGTTTTAAGTTTGTTATATCTTTATCCGGATTTAAATACAACGGGTTTACAAAGTATAAGTTTGTAACTTATTTACTTCTAAAATCTACTCTGAAGCTAAAAAAAAAAAAAAAGAAGAAACTATATGACTTAATATAGCTTAAAATCAATTTTTATATATACTAGTAGAATTACAAGTATAATTGTAGTTGGCAAAAAAAAAGTGTCTGGTTACTACTTGTAGTATTACAGCAAATGTGTTAAAGAACAAAATTTTGCAACATTAGCAATATCTTTCACAACAGAAACCTTATTACATGGCATTTTATTTTTGTAACAAAAATTTTAATATACTAAAATTTATAAAGTGCAATCTACTAAAAAAAAAAATTCTTACTTTAACAAATGGACAATAGTCAGCAGCTGAGCAATAAGAAATGGAAACGAAAAACTTTCACGGAGAGGAGGTGTCCATTGGACTCGTGTTGCCTATATATTACGATGAGAAATAAAATAAATATTCAAATTTTAAAATATATATATAAATAAATATAAGTATAAACATGTTTAATTGTAATTTTTGTTTGTGTATTTGTATTATACATATATAATTTAACACGATAGAATACAAGAAGTTAACAGAAAAGTAAGAAGTGTTATATGTTAAATAGGTTGACACATAAATGTTACTTAATTTAACACATTACTAGATAAGTTTTTTTTGACACCCAACAATATGTTAAATAGAGTGAGACTATCAATACACTATCAATAATTCTTTCTCTGTCAAATTTTAATTTTTATATCCAAATTTGTGTTTTATTTTGTAATCGCAACTAAATTTCTTGCTAACAGTATTTGTTTTTAAAAACAAAATATATTATATACATCTTACCTCACCCCAATTGTAGAAAAAACAAATAACAGATATTGCTCCGCCCAATATACTTCCACTAAATATACATAAAAGTCAGTGAAAGTTAAAAAATTTAAAAACTGATGATAAATTTTAATTAAAATCTTTATTATAACTTAAGAAAGATAATAACAGAGACAGTTTTCAGCTAAATTCACAACCAAAAAGAATTGCAAACAAAATTTTTATATCATTTTCATATAATCAATATCAAGTTAATATAAATTATCTAAATAAAAAAAAATGTTATTAAACAAATATAACAATGATTATAACTATTTTGTTTAGCAAAAGGTAATTTTAAAAATTATTTCAAAACTATTTCTAAGTTTTGTTTGATTTTAAATTATACATGTAATTAATTCTTAACTTTATTTTTATTTCAAAATTTTTATTTAACACTTTATTTACATATGAACCTTAAAGTATATAAATATAAAGTAAAATAACATTGACAAAGTACCTAATATATGTTCCCAAAATAAAAAATGCAGATAGCATCAATCCATTCAACCAAAATATTGGATAAACATAAAAATGAGCAATATCACCCATTCCTTAAAATAAAAATGTGAGAAATGCTGTAAACAAAAAATTTCTATAAAAATAAAAATGTAATTGACAAATGTTGTATATAAAAATTTATTTTTAACAGGTAAAAATAAGTACATATATATATATATATATATATATATATATATATATATATATATATATATATATATATATATATATATATATATATATATATATATATATATATATATATATATATATATATATATATATATATATATATATATATATATATATATATATATATATATATATATATATATATATATATATATATATATATATATATATATATATATATATATATGATATATATATATTAAGAGGTATTTTTTTAAATAGAGCTCACATCATTTAATGTCTTTACATCCATTTATTACAAAATGTAAGAATGTAAATAGGACCATCTGAATGCTCCGAGGATAGGTCCATCTGGATGCTCTAAAACCATCTAAATACTAAAGCCTTTTTTGATATTAATTAAACTTAGAGTTTTCTTATACTTATAGATATCGTCGCACATTCACTTGTTCATCTAACTCTGTTTTGTCATTACAATGCTCCACCTTCAGATAATATGATTAACTGCAATACATCAGCTGTTAAAAAATACTATAATTCCCAGACACAACTCTTACTATTCAAATTTAAATTCTGGTCCAATCAAATAATTTAGATAACAAAACTTGCATACAAATTCACTCTATGATAGTGTAAAAAGGTTGAATGCAAAATAATACTAAAAGCTGTTAATCCTGAAAATATTAAGTCTAGGAAAAGAGAAATAGGAAGTAGCATTAGAAATGGTTTTATTCTCTGTAAGAGACCTTCTGTGTACTGCCACTAACAAATCACCTGATCAATCCAATGCTTATTAATAAAAGGTACCATTCTGTTAAACTTTTTAACAGAATAGGATTTCACAATCCTATACAGAGATCAGGTACCAATAAAAAGATATTCACTTGTTGACAAACTTTTACTGCTAGAAACAGTATCATTCTACTTTAAACGTGTCACATTTCAAAATTAAATAAATGATACCGCTTCAACAAATATCTTGCCCCACTTCTTAATGTAAACCCACCAGCAATTTAGAAGAGAATCATGACCAATCTAACAAGAGCCCTATGAATTGAACAATGATAAAATTATTTATTAGCAACAATATCTACAAATCAAAAAATAAAAAATGAAACCAACAAAGTAGTTTTAAACCAACATCATTTGATTGACAATTAAAAAATGGACATCTTTTATAGCATCATATATCATCAAACAGCAATATAAAGAAACCTATTACACCTAACACACAGATACACAGGTATATTCTCAAAAACAGGAAGAAATATTAAAAGATCAAAGTATCTCAATGACTGCTTTCTTTCATAGATCATTATCTAAAGTCATTACTCTCAGCCTTCGAAGCAGATAAGTCATTGACATCATTTTCTGTCATTTAAAAAAATATGGTTAGTAAAACAGAAATTATTATTTGCAATATATATATATATATAATTTATTACAAAAAATAAGATAGTACAGTTTACAACAGGCACTAACAATAAGGAAGCAAATTTATAAATCAAGCGCATTTTATAATCAACCAATGAAAAGGAGTTTGGCTATTTTTAGCAATTAAATAGTATTTACGATGTAATGATATAATGATGATGTAATGATGATGTAATGATATAATGATATGTAATGCACTTTTGATTTTGAAGGTAGTAAAAAAAATAATAATAACCATGAAGTTGATTGACCATTGAAGTTATTCATACTAATAAACAAAAGTTTTTTTTAAATTACACGTTCATCAATAAATATTGTTATAAATACCAATATTCATCACAAAAAGAATTATTCAATTGCTGAGATGACAAAAATTGATCAAGTGAAATACTAAAATTAAATTTATATAATTTTTAATAACTTTAATAGTTTAATAATTTTTTTGACAGTTAAACTTGTTACTTGACAAAGAAAAAAAAGTTTACAAATAAATTATTACAAATGATAGTTGGCATTATGATTAGAGTTATAAAATTTTTGGTCTTTAGTAGGATTAAAATGCACATTTTATTACTGGTTAAGAAAATCCCATTTCTTTTTTTTTTTAATTTCATAAAAAAATTACTGTACTAAGACACCTGGCAACATGGTGGGTGTATACATTACAGAAAATATTTCTCTCCAAAAATATATCAAGTTAGTCTGGAAAAAAGTGTAAATTCATAAAAGTATAAAAAATTTAAAGATTTTAAATAAAAATCAGTTTTTTCAAATTTATTGTAAAAAAATATTTTTAAACAAAAATTGAAAAAAAAGGCACTTTTTAAGACATTTTTAATAATATTTTTCCTAAATGGGTTACATTTAAATAAAATTGTTTATTATAAAATCTTTTTAAAATTTCATTTCAATTGAGACCTAAGAGATTATATACTTAAGCTAAAAAATTATTTTTGGTAAAATATGACACCTACCATGTCAATGGGTGTTTTGATGCATGAATTTTTTTTAGAACTAGCTCTAATAATTTATAAATAATCAGGTCACAAAAGTTCATCATTTGTGACCACAGTAAATAATAAGGAAAAATAATAATTTATTTGACAGAAACAGCATGCCCTTTGGCAAATTTTATTGTTTCAGAATTGGAAAAGGAAAAAGTCGAAACAAAAATTTATAAAAAATTATCAGTGTAGTGACACCTTAGGCTTGTGAAGCGGAATAAAAGTTAAGACCTACATCTAAATTGCATTTTTTTAAACATTCAGGATAAAGAAATTGTTTTAAACACCATATTGATCAAGTGTATTTTCAAATTGCTTTTCAAAAATTTGTTCTATTGTCGATACCAAAATAACTCCGTCTTTAAACATTCCTTAAGTAAAGCCTGAAACCACAAAAAAAAGCTTTTTCAATCAACTTTTATCTAATGATTCGCCACTGTCTGTTCAGCAAAGTTCAAACAAACATGATTATATTTAAAGCTGGATTTTTCAAACTTTAATAATATGGAGCTGATATGATATTTTATACAGATTATTTTTAGTTTTATCTTATTTATATGTAACATCTTTATATAATGTTTAACTGGGTTTATCATTGCCCAATAAGATACCCACTAAATTTATTTTGCTGAATTGGCATTACAAATACAGATTTAACAATAATAGTAAATACTTACCTACACAACTCTGTACTTGGCTAAGTCCTTCGCCCCGATTTATTGTATAACAAGTTTCCAACCTCATGTTAAACAATTTTCCATACCATTTATATATTCTAAACATTGTTCCAAGTACTAACTAAAATATTAGAAAAAAAAAGTTATTTTTTGTTTATTTAAACTTGAAAAATGATAAGTTTAATTTGTTTGTTGATTTTAAAATGAAACATTTTACTTATTATTTCATTTTACTTATTTATATATATATATATATATATATATATATATATATATATATATATATATATATATATATATATATATATATATATATATATATATATATATATATATATATATATGTATATATATATATATATATATATATATATATATATATATATATATATATATATATATATATATATATATATATATATATATATATATATATACCCAGTATATAGAAAACTTGTGTACAACTATTTTAACATTATAACCACAAAAAAAGTAAAAATAATTTATCGTAAGCTACTGGAAAGTAAATTTTAAAAATTGCATATTTATGGTCAATTTTTCGCAATTAGCTTTGACCCTAACCACAAATAATCAAAATGTTCAGATACTTAAAAACTTTATATAGTTTATTATCAAAACTATATAAAGTTGCCAATTTATAAATTGTCAAACATAATTATTAAAAAATATTATAAAAAACTTTAAATATTAAAAAATTTACGCAAAAGGTTTGCAAATTATGAACTTTGCTATTTAATCATGGCGGAGTCAATATTCTCAAGAACTAGAAAAAAGAAGAAGATCAAAGCTTTTGGAATATATAGGTTCTGCCTGTTTCAACTTAAAATTAAAAAATCTAATTAAATTCAAAATAATATTTTTACATACGACTATTTATATTTTACTTATATTAGGAAATGACAAATAAAAAATATATTCATAAAAGTATTTGTACTTACAATATTTTGAAAAACATCAATTAATGAAAACACAATTATTTTATCCATAGCTAAAGCAAAAAGTGTCTGAAGAACTGCAACAAACAATTAGAAGTCAGGAAGATAAGTTTGAATTTGAATTTAGCAAAACAGTTGAACTATTTAGTAATGAATGTTTTACAACAAACAGCAATACTGAACTCAATCTAATGTGTCGACAGAATGAAGATCAGGAGCGTTTACGAGGACAAAGAAATTATGAAAGTATTTCCAACATTGCGTTAGCAAGCATACGGTATGGTACAGGCTTACGGGAAACAGCTGCAATTGCAACGGCAGCTTGGATGGACGCAGGAATAGTTAAAGATGATACCAATGGTTACTGATGATTACTGACAACAGCAAAGTCAAGAGAGCTCAAGAAAAGTTCAATTAGTAGTCGAAGGTTTGTCTAAATGTTATCCTACTACAATTAAAGAGGAACATTATACAGTAAGTCAAGAGCCCAGAAGTAGGTATCTTTTCCATTTCACACCTGAAAAAGTTCAAAAACATATGAAACACGCTGAAGTAATTGCTCAGAATATAAACAAACTTTTGAAAAGTAATGGAGCCGATAAAAGCTTAACAGCGATCGTTGGTGATTCTACTAATGTTAACACAGGGTGGTCAGGCGGAGCAATACATTAGCTTGAAGCAAAGTTAGGAAGAAAGCTGGCTGGTTTGCGCACTCCATACTAATGAACTTCCTCTGTTTCATCTGATAACAACTCTTGATGGAGAGACTCTGAGTAGCATCAAATGGAGAGGCAGCATTCGAAAATTATTAAATGGCGCAACTGCTCTGGAAATTAATCCATCCTTTGAAAAAATTGATGTTCGAAATCCGCTTATTACTCTAAAGGATGAAGTAAGCAAAAATTTATCCTCCGATCAGCTTTATGGGTATAAAATAGTCTTTGCTATTAGAAATGGAAATATACCCACAGATTTGGCTTTACATGAAATTGGACCAGTTAATCATTCCAGATGGTTGACAACAGCCAACAGACTTTGCAGAGTTTGGGTCTCAAAACATTAGTTAGGAGGCGAAAATTTAAAAAACCTTAAATTAATAATTGAGTTCTGAAGGACTGAGACATATTCTTTACCAGCTTCGCCTTCTGACACATCAATCAAGTGAAATAGTAAAAATTGTTATGCCAACAGTTCGACGATCAGCGTGGTATGCTTTATCTGAATGTATTATACAGACCATGCTCTGCTCAGAGAATGTAGAAGAAAGAAGGAATGGTATAGAGTTAATTGTGAAAATCAGAGGTCCTGGTAATGAAAACTTCAAACTGGTGATAAAAATGAGAGAGCTAGAATAACTCCAGAAATAAAACCTGATGCAACAACGCTTATGCAGCTAATTGACAGGAATATATCCTATGAGTCTATTCTTTCTTGTGATTTGACAACAGAAGAAGTAAAACAGATAATATTTCAGCCTATGATTGTTCCAAATTGGCCCTACCATGGACAGTCAATTAAAAGACGAGTTAAACAGGTAACAGAAGCAGCAAGCAAACTTTATTCTCAAGAAAAAAGAGATGGTTTTTTATAAGACTTATAAAGAGAATTGACATCTACTAGTTGGTCAAAAAAAGATTTGATTTTAATGACAAAAAAAAAAAAAAATTATAATAAAAAAAAATCTATTTTTATTAAATAAAAAACTAAATGATACAAAAATGATTACAAACGGAAACTATTATAAACATTTTAATAATAATAACTTTAAAAAATCAAAAAAAAAAAATTTAGGCTGACAAAAATATACAATCACAAGCAAAAATTTGCTATTTATTAAAAAATTTTCCGCGAATTTAAGTGAATACTAAATATCAATTCCCGGTAGCTAAATCATTTCGGATTTTAAAATCTAAGCTTTTTTTAGTAAAACTATATATAAATACAAGTTTTTAGAATACAGGGTTTTCAATCTGGAAAAAAAAATAGCATGACACACCCTAATATATATATATATATATATATATAAATATATATATATATATGTATATGTATATGTATATGTATATATATATATATATATATATATATATATATATATATATATATATATATATATATATATATAAATGGTAAAGGTAAAAGAGATACCAACTATGAAAAAACCCCCTGCCTTGGGCTCTTGGTTGAGTAAAGGCTAGAGATGGGGTCCTGATTAAAATACTCATCTTGGGCAGACATTAAATGCATCCGGCTATTGTCTTGTAGAAGGCCTCCTAGGCAAAGACTTAAAGGATAAACAGATTCTATTTGTTGACCAACTTCACACCCCCTAATTCATCTATTAGGCTGGCATAGACGTAATACATTGTTTTCAGTTTAGGATGTTGAATGCTGGATCTTCTTGGATCATTGCATGGGTTTTGCAGGTGTCTCTGTTTTGTTGCCTCGGCAACTTATTTAATTTATCTCCTAATGAGGGTACAGCTCTAAAACTCAGTTTTATGGTACTTAGGACGACTGGTAGTCAAGTTTCCCAAATTCTGTGGTAGCTCGAAGAGAGACTGATTCCATCAACAGCTGTAAGGTATTAGAGTACTAACAGTTCTGTTGAGCAGGGATGGTGTCTCTGATGGTACTTTTAGTGTTTAGTTTAGTTTTAGTACTTTTAGGTACATTGTTGAGGCCAAATGTGGCCTCAACAATGCGCACTAAAGCATTTACACTTTAGCAACTAATATTCATTAATACAATTTTGGGTAAACAAAAAAAAGTTAAAAATTGAAAAAATTAAATTGAACAAAAAGATATAAACATTTTCAAAGTAATAACTCAACTAAATTAATTTCAAGTCTATTAGTAGGAAACTCATAGTCGATTAAATCGACTGTTTGATTTTCAAAGTTAACTAATTTCAACTTTCAACTAGTTGACTTTTAGTCAATTTCAAAGTCGAAGTCACAACAATAATAAAGTTCTTTAACCAATTTAAAAAATGACTTAGGTATCAAAAACTATAAAACACAAACAGCCATCATCATCACCAAGTTCTTTAAATCTATTTTTCACTAGTATCGTGGTCTGCAAATTAACTTTTCTTCCATTGAGTCTTATCATTTACAAAGTTCACCAGTCCTACTTGCTTTTTGTGAGACTAGTATGAGTTCAGCTGTCTCCTATTGTGAACTTAGTGTTGATGGTTATCTTCCTTTAATTTGTAATGACTCCAATAGTCACATGCTTGGCCTGGGTATTTACATTCGTAAGAATACACTCATTTTTTTAAAAACTGGGTCTGAAACAACACGCTTTTAATTTATGTGCTTCCTTTAGCAACACTTAACACTATCACCTATCTCTTTGTTCTATACTGCACTCCTTCATTTCAAGACTGCACTCTTTTTGAAGTTATATCTAATCAAATTGACTGAGCCCTTCCTTTTTATCTATCAGCAAATATTGATGTTGCTAATGACTTTATTAGTCATCACACTAAATGGCTTGGTTCCGGTGTCAGTGACTCTTCAGGTGTTAAGCCCCACAACTTTTGCCTTTCTCAATCTCTAACACAAATAGTCAACTTTCCCACTCGCTTTCCAGATAATTTGAATCATTTGTCTTCTCTACTCAACTTATGTCTTGCTTCTGATCCTAGTCAGTGCTCAGTTTTTCCACATTCACCCTTAGGTACTTCTGATCACAGCTCTGATCACATCTCTCTAAAAATACTCTCATTCTTCTTCTTCATCTAATTAAAAATACTCTCATTCTTCTTCTTCATCATTCTTCTTCATCATCATTGTTCTTCATCATCATTGTTCTTCATCATCATTCTTCATCATTATTCTTCTTCATCATCATTGTTCTTCATCATCATTGTTCTTCATCATCATTCTTCATCATTATTCTTCTTCATCATCATTCTTCTTCATCATCATTCTTCTTCTTCATCATTCTTCTTCATCATCATTGTTCTTCATCATCATTCTTCATCATTATTCTTCTTCATCGTCATTCTTCTTCATTATCATTCTTCTTCATCATCATTCTTCTTCATCATCATTCTTCTTTATCATCAGAAAAACTACCTCAAAACTGATTGAATCTTTCCATTATTTTCTTTGTGATGGCCCTTGGGTAGAAATCTTTTGTCTTCCTGCTTAAAAAT